AACATGGCGGCTCGCGGGCTTGTCGAGAGGGGATACTTTGTAGCCGTCGCTGCAGGTAACGAACGCCACGATGCCAGGCTCAACTCTCCTGCTTCCGAGCCGTCCATTTGCACCGTTGGCGACTATAGGTACCGGGATTCCAACTTTGGCCCTGCTGTTGATATCCAAGCGCCTGCCGTCAACGTTCTCTCTACTGTCCCCGGCGGCCGCATTGTAAGCTATCCATCTCACGGTCATGCTGTTGCCGTCTGAATGATGCTAACGTCTTTTTTTATTTCAGTATCGCCTGACTGGCACTTCTATGGCCTCGCCTTATATCGCTGGTCTTGCTGCGTCCATAGCTTCGGCCCATCATCAGCGTGCCGGTCCGGATCTCTGCGCGTGGATGGTGCAGAGGGCTACTCCGCAATGGTAGTGCTAGGAGCCGGTTGGATTGTTGATGCCTGCAATCTCAAATAGCATTCAGTGGTGCCGAGCACTTGATTGCTGAGCTTTTGAATCCCGAGCAGGACTTGCTTTTGTGTACTTGGGTGTGTGCAGCAGGCTGTATGCTTGCAGGTATCAAGCTTTTTGTATGTACAGGACATTCTATTCTATTCTCACCAAAAAAAAGTGTCACGAGTGCCTTTTATGATTTTGTATTTTGTGGTGCTGGTTCAAACCCGACCCGTATGAGAGATGCAGCATCAACGAGCGCAGCCGTGTCGAGAAACACGGCCGAGGGGTGAATCGTGCCTTCAAATTGATTGAATACGGCATATGTTATGGACTCACTACAAGCTAGCTGTCCTACCCCGGTTTCAGGAATTACTAGTCCATACCAACATTGAAGGAACTCTGCCGAGTGGTGCACTGATGAGATGTGTCATGTGTGCCACGGCTACTTGGTGTCAAACTCTATGCTTGAGGAGGGTGTGGCACAAGTTACAACCACCCGTTTTCCAACCTGCTCGTAATCATTCCCTTGTTGCCGCTCTGCAGTGCATATTCACATGTAGATCCAAAATGGTGGTTCCATCATGATAACCAAGCACATTTCTAGCTGGCACGTGTACGTCACCATTCGGCGGAGGCAAAACCATTTTGAAAAAACTTGTATTACAGTGGCCGTGGGTTCGGTGTACTTTTTTCATGGTATTCGGCGCCACGTCAGATCCGGGAGGGAGTGCTCGCGGCCTTCGCCCCGGGTGTAACAAATCTGCTGCAAGTCGGGCTTCACACCGACAGCAATCAACTTGCCCGAATGGCCGCACGAGCTGTTTTCTTCTAGTGATGTATTCTAGCTTATATATATTTTGACAGCAACACTATCGCAGCCACTTATATTGTACCGCATCGATTATAGCCCCTTCATTCTTTTCAAGTCAAGCGCCTGTCGCCATCAGCCGACGCGAGAACCAGACGTACCTGCGGATCAAGATGCGCAAAATGACTGTTCCCGACGACACACAATATCCTTGGCGGGCGTCACTTGCGTTGACTCGGTTTTAGCGAGAAAGTGTGTCAACATGTTGGTGCATGTTTGACGGCGAGAACCAAGGTTCGAGGCACTTGGTTGACGAGCAGCAAATTTCGCATCACAAAGTAAAACCGGGTTCCAGCATGCTTAAGCCTAAATAACCCCTAATAATGAACAGTGCTACATATTCAGCCATGAGCAACCTCAACATGGACCCTTGTACCAAAGTAGCCTGCTACAAAAACAAAAAGAATAAACATTCACTGCGGATGGGCATGGTCCAACACACCGCCGAAATCCAGATCGACAGACCAAGAATTGGGATCGGGCAGCATGGCATAAAAGTCAAAATCCTCAAAACTACCAAAGTTCTGCACCCAGTCCATCTCGCTCCGTCGGGAAACAGACGCATCACGAGACGAGGGCGCATGGCCGACGCCCGGCTCGGACGCAGTCGACGGCGTCTCCTGCACCTTTTGGAGCAGCTTGCGCAACGCCGGGCCAACAGAAACAAGCAAGTGCCTCTGGTTCATCAACGCAGCACCCCTGTCAAGAATGCAGACGGTCTGACTCACAAGATCGAGGATACGGGCCTTGTCCATCCAGATGGTGCCGGGGTACTTTGTCACGACCTTGAGCAAGAAGACGACGGCAAAGGTAATCATCATATCGAAGCACAGCGAGAGGCCGTTGAGCAGCAGCTGCACCTCCTGGTCGGCGTTCAAGGCGCCCAGGATGGAGGCGGCGCAGACGACGGCCGTGTTGGCCACCTCGTGCAGCTCCGGCGCCAGGGGGGTCGACGCCGGCTCGGGCTCGGGCCCGGGCTCCGCGTGCAGGCCCCGGAAGGCGTGGGAGCAGAGGTACAGCTTGGCAAAGTTGAAGTGAAGGCCGACGCCCTTGGCGGGATAGTTGCCGACCTTTTCGTGGGGACGGAAGCGCTCGCGCCAGTCGGCGTGCCACGTGTCGAGGGCGATGGCGAAGCGCCGCAGCTGAGGCATCTGGGAGGGCGAGACGGGCTTGGCGGTCTCGGTGCCGAAGCAGTCGAATATGGCGCCGTAGACGGACCATATCTTGACCTGGGAGACGAGGCGGACGTCGTCCTCGACGGCGTGCTCCGTCTCGAGCAGCGCCGCGGCCGAGTTGATGCTGACGCACTCGTGGGACATGGGCGGGCGGCCGTACAGGACCGACGTGTGGTGGTCGCACACGTAGACGTGGTAGTAGAGCCGCGTCTTGAGGTATGCGTCGCGGTCGCCCTCGAGGGCCTTGTATATCGCGTGGTGGAGTTGAATCTCGGACGCGATCCGCACGGCTGCATCACCACCAGACGTCAACTCGTCGAGCGGCCACGGCGCACGGGGAGACATGGAGCTTACCGGATCCCGACGACGCCCACGACAGGCTGCTCAGCCAGAAGCCCCCGATGCAGAGGCCCCGGACGTCGTCGGTGTTGTGCTGCCGCGACAGCGACCCCGTCGTGAAGAGCATCTTGAGCTCGGCGAGACACGCGTCGTAGAGATGGCCCAGCTGCGCGGAATGCAGCGCCCCGACGGTGCACACGGCCGCCGTGAGCAGCGGCGAGCTCTCCATGGCCGCCTCCAGGCTGGCGTCGTCGCCCAGGATCCGGTACAGCAGGTGGTCCAGCCGGTCTTGGTACACGGCGAACAGGACTCTTGCCTCCTCGAGCGATATCAACCCCTTTGACACGAGATGCGGCTTTCGCGACGCGTTGCCTGCCGAGGCTCCGGCGCCGGGCACCTGGGCAATGCACGAGGCCGGCATCGACGACGGCTCACACTGCGGATCGACGGTGATTTGCCATGAATGGTCAGGCAAAGGGTCGACATGGCTGCTGCTGCTGTTACTGCTGCTGCTGCCCGCGGGCGTGGTGCGCTGACCATGGCCCAACATGGCACTGAGCTCAGCCTGCTCGCCAAATAGCTCACGCAGTTCCGGCATGTCGAGCTTCTTTGCCACGGCGCCAATGGCATGTTCGAGACGTTGGACCCTTTGCCCAACGGCCTGCTTCCAGCTAGAGCCGGGGTTAACTTGGCGTCACACCATGCATGGAGACGAGCTGGCTGCCGCGACGAACCTGATGTCGTCTTCTAATAGCATCTGCAGGCTGCGGTTCACGGTGCACGGAAGAGATCGCTTCTTGCACCGGGCGCACGGGGCCTTGCCATTTGTCATGTGGCACTTGATCTGGAGGACGTCAGCCAGAGATACATGCACCAGACGTTTTGGTTGAATTTATTTTTTGACCTTTTGCCGGCGACACGCGACGCAGGCTGTAATCCTTCTGCTGATTTCGGGAGGCTTGCCGTCGCCAAAGGATTCTCTCAGCGCCGCCACGCCAGGGAGACACGGGGCGTTGCTCTCCATGACGGCGCACAGTCAACCAGCCAATACCCAGTACAAGATATCCAATGCACAGAGGGCTTTGCCACGGTAGCCAGGCCAGGGAGCAGCCAATACGGTAACAGGGCAATCAGCCTCTCGCATCATATGGTGTATCTGGGAGAGAGTCTCACGAGTTGGGGATGAATGTCGGTCTTCCCCCCGACTCCGTTGCCCCCGCCGAGCAGCTCCATCTTTCTCAGACACGGAGCAACATTGCATTGAACCCACGTGGGATGAGCTCAGCTTAACAATGGCTCCGGGAGGATTCGCCAACGGCTGCTTAATCAGCTGCCATTGCAACCTTGATTGAACTTGACTGGAGGTTTTGCACCGGCATCTCCCCAAGGCACTGGCCGTACTGGCAAGCTACCGCGGAAGCAAAGAAACCAAACAATAGTATACAGTGAGAATTACCGCTTGGATCGCGAAAAACATATTGTATGGCATCTCCCCATCAGACCAGTCCAAGGCGGGAACCACGGCCTCAATTTCGCGTCCGACCGGGTCCCGGACTCCGGGTCCTCGATGGGGCCGGCCGGCGCAGACGGCGCCGCGACTTGACCGTTTCCGTGGGTTGGCGAGGCCGCCATACAAATGACGAGTGGGGTCGCGCTCAAACAGGTTGATTTCTATTAGAAACACGTCTCAATTTTGAAAATGCCATGCACCGTAATCGACCCATTGTTCTTGTGTGCGTGCAGAAGTATGAGGGGGGTCAAAAGTGTTGAAAATTAAGTGTGCCCAACTTAGTTGTATTAACCTTGCCCTCCAACCTGACGGTTGGAGGCAATGCTCACTATAAATACGTGTACCTAATTGCTCTTTATCTTATCCTCACGTGACTGACTCGCCTATTCCAACAAAAAGCACGGCGAGTAGTGCCGACGACCGGGCATGTAAATAGACAGTGGCCAACTACGCCTTATTCCGAGTAGAGATTTCACAAAATCCCCAATACGGGTTCGAGATCCATGCAGGATTATTGATTTTTTTACCATTTCCTACTTTAATTTTGTACCTCATCCCAACGGAATATCACATGTTGTGGTTAGCCTAGTATGACTGGCGGATTACACTGCTTATTCGCACAGCACCCAATATATGTACGCATTGGACACACATACATCCCCTACATGACTCAGGAGGCATAAACGGCCACATAGTCACCCTCCATGGCAGCGCCCCTACCGCCCACCGTCTCGTTTGTAGGCGTCTTGAAGCCGGCAACGGCGTCGGCAAAGGCGCCCCCAACAGCCACCTTGAACAGCACCATCTTCCCATCAGCAGCCAACACTTGCCAGGCGCCGGCATCGCCCAGGTCGGACTGTCGTAGAGTCCATTTGGGCACGCCGTCAATCGCCCAGGTCATGGACTCGGTGTCGTTGCCCCCAGCCCGGCGGTCCACCTCCCGCGAATAGGTGTGCCACAGCCCTCCCCTCGCCTCACGGACTCGCTCATGGAGGACACGCCAGACGGCTCGTTGCACGGGCCCCCGGGGTTGATGCCGCAATGCGCGACGTGCAAGTTTCTCGGCTCTCCGTTGAGCGACTCCGTCATGTCAATCTCCCAGGATGGAGAGGCGTGAAGCGCAAGCATGAATAAATCGTCAGCTATTCATCTTTGTGGAGGGAAACAGCTATAGGAATAAACGGATAGGAAGAATTTTGGGACTATAATTTTTTAAAGTGGCAAGACGAGCATTGACACTGGATATGAGTTCTTATAGTATCAGTTGACCTTGAATGCTACAACACGGCGCGGCCTTGGTGAGATGGGTTGAGCAAGACATGACATCTCCCATATTCCCTAGCGTACCTATAATATAGTACAAGTCATCTTCGGAACGCGACTGCAGAAAACGGATATTTCTTAGGACACAGGAATAACAGGACTCGGAAGAATTGCAGCTTCGAGGACAGAGTCGGGCAGCGTCTGTGGACCAATCAGCGACATGGCCAGGCACTAACCCGGATTTGGTCGCAACAGCCAAGCTCCATCAGCTCATGCACAACTTGACTTCTCCCACGCCAAACGCCGTCTGTGAGCCCCAACAGCTCGCCATGAGCAAAACACCAACCCATCTCCAGGACACCGATGCGTTACCAATCAACAACACCGCCGCACGGCGCCATCTCACACTCTTGGCTCTCAAAGTCACCGCGCGGTTCTACAAGTGGGATGGACCCTGTGTCCCCCTGTCCCGCCGCATCATGGTCAAGACGGATGAGAACATTGACCTGACTGAAGCCGCGACCATGGCCTTCATTGCTGCCCGGACGAGCATCCCCGTACCCCGCGTGCATTGCTCATTTGTCCACAAGAACAAAACGTACATCGTCATGGAGCGCATTCGCGGCAAGACTCTCGCTGCCGCCTGGCCAACTCTTTCGGAGCCGGAGCTCGACGACATCTTGACCCAGCTACGAGACATGCTCAAGGAGCTGCGGGCCCTCCCGGCTCCGGGTGTTGCAGTAGAGAGTTGCGTGGGCGCGTCACTGCATGATTTTCGGATTCCCTGGTCTGAGACAAGATTTGGGCCGTTCCCTTCCATACGGGCATTTCACTTTTGGCTGCGCCAAGGGCTTCAGCCAGAAGAGCACCACCCACAGCATGTCAATGATGAGGATTGGGCCGACATCAAGCGCATGGTGGCCATGCAGGATGAAGACAAGGATTGGGGACCACCGGTGTTTACGCACGGTGATCTGAACCCTTTCAACATCATGGTTCGGGATGGGAAAATTGTTGCCATCATTGACTGGGAGTTCGCGGGCTGGTATCCCCATTATTGGGAATATACCTCTGTTTTTCTTGGAAACAAGACAAGAGGAGCGTGGCAGAAGTTGGTCCCAAAGTTTATTGAGCCCTGCCCGGATGAACTCCGAATGGAGACGATTAGACAGAGATGGTGGGGAGACTTCTAAAAAGGAGGTATGGTGGCCGTGTCCAAGGTACAATCTCCTTCTCGTCCAACATGTCCCAAGTTGGCTTCGGCTCGAACATACGCTCTCCGTCTGGATATCTCCCGGCAGCATTCTTCTCTCCCATGTAGCGCCTAGCCTTTGGCTCCATCTTGCTCCAGTCTGGCTTCAAGGTTCCGTCTCTGTCTTCACCTCTGACCGCAGGCGCCGTGGCTCCCGCCGTCTTCCCAGAGGTATCATCGCGTGCGTGGTATACCGTCGATGCTTTCGCCTCATCTCGCCATTTAACCTGCTTGTGTCGGTACAAATAAGCTCCGCCAAGAGTCGACACTCCTCCAGATTGTAGCAAGGTTAAGGATTCCACTCGTCTTGGTCCATCCTGAATATTGAGATCCCCAGCGGATCAGGAGGACTCCCGTGCAATTACCCGACCATGTGTTGAATTGTCTTCCGCTACCTCAAACTAGCGTCAGTATCGACGCTGTGCTTCCCATGCCTCTTGTCGTGCTATGGTCAACGTTCCATCCTCCAAGCCAACAGCTAGCGTAAGCCGATCAATCACTGTGGCTGCACTTTCCGGAAAGTTCGTCTTGTACGCATTTCATTGTACACCTACTCCACAATGCTCATTACCAAGCATGGAGCACATGATGCACGGAGTCGAACCAAAATGGGTTCCAAGTCTATCCAGGAAGCCACCGAATACGATACCGACGTGTAAAATCTTCTGGTTTTCGCTTCGTACTCTATTGACGTCATTTCGCCCATGCTGTGTTAATCGAGTCAAGGTAAACGCCCTTCCAAGCCTTTCTGGTATGAGGGCAATGCCCATCTTGTTATCCAATCTGCTTTTAGCACTTTCATTATGTCCGGTCGCTCGCTTGGTGTCCATGCGAGCATCCACCGGAGGAGCTCAAACAGCGCATCCCGCTCGTCTTCCCTAATCGTTTCCATGCCCCGAGATTGTCGCGGTTTTTGCACCCACTGCTCGAACCGCCGTTCCCATGACCAGATATCAGACGCATTGCTTAAAGGCCTGCCTGCTTCATCGTACCATTTCGGCCGCTTCTCCCATCTTCCCCACCACTCGGATGGCATGGGACCCTGCAGTTCTACCTGCTGCGCTGTGATCTCGTCCTGCGGTGCGAGGAACCCGTCGATGATGGACCTGTGGGCGAGAAGCTCAAAAATAACGCAACCAAGGCTCCAAATATCAGAGGCAAAGGTAAGAGTTGTTTCTGGCTCAAAGAATGCCTCGGGTGGGCGGAGGACAACGGGTGTATATGACTCAAATCGAGACTTGTCGCATGGCCGGAAGGCAACCCCAAAATCGCTTAGGATTAACTTCGCCTCGCCCAGGGTTATGTCACTGCTTGGTACGCCCATCCATACTGAAGGCACCGCGTAAGAAGGAACCCCGGGGTCTGTTGATGCTGCCCGAACGTCCAGACAAACTACTGGCTCTCGCTCCGGCTCCCCGTACCGTGCGTAGAGTTGCTCTACTGACAAGGTATTGAGTGATGAGGGCAGCTGTAAGAGAAGGTTGCCGAGATGAAGATCTAGAGCACGGGGTCAGTCAGGGTGTCGGCGTAAAAGAGAACAGGACGCTCACCTCCATGGGCATAACCCCTAGCATGGACGAGGGACACGGCCATGACTAGTTGCGCAGCAAGAGATCTGGCAACGTCGAGCTGAAACAGAAAGCTACCCGATGCCTCCCTCGCGTCCCGCAAGCTGCATCGTGCCGGAAGGGTCACGAGGCATGGATGAGTGCCATTAGGCCCGCCAACGTCGAATCGATCAAGTACGACGGGAAGCAGCGACGGCTGGTCTTCCAAGATGCTGCGGCTTCCAGGGCTCTGTGTGATCTGGGAGAGAATATCAAGCTCGCTGCGATCCGCATCCGCGGTGCCGAGTTTGATGGCGACATACTTTGTCGTCTTCTCGTCGATGGCAAGCCAGGCAGTGGAGCAGGCGCCGTGGCCCAGCTTGTGCACTATGCGATATCGTTTGTGAAGTCGATCGTCGATATGAAGTGGATGATAGCCGCCGGGCCGGTAGTCACTGAGATGCTCTACTCCATGGATATACCCGTACTCGGCAGGTGGTGTTGACGTGGTCGAGTACTGCGACTGGGGGGAGCTCGATGCTATGTGCAGTTTAAAACAGGAGTTCAAGGAGGAAGCTCTTGCGGTTGTCGCGCGGCACAAAGAAATGTGACGCGGCAGCCAAAGACCCATCTGCAGCGCATGAGAGATGACCCGCTTTTGGTGTTTGATGAGGCTGAAGACTACATGTTTATCTGGAAGCAGGTGCACCGATTTCTCATGAAAGATGTCAAGGTGTGTTGCAGAGGGTGTTCAATGTTGTTCATTCAAATTGATCCGTATTCGGTGGGGCATGAACGGCCAGGCGCCAAGACGTGCTTGGTTCCTATTGGATACGGCCGTGATGGTGCAGCCTGAGCAGAACAGATGCAACATTCATTACAACCAACGCACCGAGGCCACCCAATCCGATGGGCTTGATGAAGCTACTGCAACAAGCAATGAAACCGCAAATATGGCTCATAAGGTAATAGAGGCCACCATGGTCAAATACTACTTCCATGCCGCGCAAGTTCCGAGAAGCGAAGCCAGGACGATGTAGCCTTAGGGTTAGGGTCGTCATCTGAAGGATCCCATCATCCCACGAGCCACGAGCGATCACGTTACATTTAGCAATAAGACGCAGGTCCATTTAGATCGCGATACTCATGTCGCCTGCCACAGCCATTTCAAGGATCACGGTACGCTGGAATTCCAGGAGGCGACCCATGCAGCAGAAAAGGCCGACTCAACCATGAAACGGGACAACAAACCAGTTTGGCCAGATGACGAGGACCGCGTTCCATGTTCACAGGTTCTCCCATTGTTTCTTGAATGCGTGTTGCCGTTGGTAATCATGCCAGGTCCCTGTGCGTTGTTGCCCTGTACACAATGAGCGACTTGAACAGTGTCAGAACTCAGACAATGAGCCCATGATCCTGACGTACAGCGCTGACCCTGGCTGGTTGAACTTCAGCCTTTGTTTTGTTTTAATGGGATCTCATGCTGAACAGTGCAGCGAATCGATGCCTTGCGTCTTTCACTGGTCGAGCCCTTTGTCATGCTGTCGGAAGCCTCGCGCCTTTATTGATCCAGCACAGCCTGTTCAGAATTCGCCGTCACCTATTTTTGTCCCGATTTCCCGCCACATTCTAAACCACATCTCTATCCTAGTGCCTTCGCCAGCGACGGGACCGCCCATGCCAGCTATGTCTTACCGTCGCGACTTGACCGACTACACTGGCTTGAGCAACGAGGCTGACCAGAAAAAGCCCATACAACCGCCAAACATAGCTAGCCTTGCGGCCCAGGCCCTTGAAGCCTTTGAGAGATGCCTTCATTTATCCGCCTCTTATTCTCGAAACGTTGCTTTCCGCTTCGGCCAACATCTCACATGCTTTGAGCTTTGGATACTCGAGGCTGGTGTCTTCTCTCCAGGGCGAGCTTGTCTAGACCACGCAATCAGACGAGCAGGGCTTTTGCACGAGGGTATCTGCCGTGCTCTGAAGAATCTAATCCAGAGAATTCAAGATTGTGAGTATCGTGCACACTTCCATTAGACAGACTGAGGAGCTTGCCAGAAAAACTCCAATCTTCAATAATAACCAAGGAAACACCTGCTAATCTCGTCAAATAGCTTCATCTATCCTGGAAAAAACAACAAACTCTCGACAAGAAAACTCTACAGAGAATGACCTAAACGACGCTATCAAAGCTATAGCCAAGGTCATGGAGTCGCTCTACGAACCCATCGAATCAGGCCAGGCTAAAGAAATCTCTAGGCGCACTTGGTACTCCACAGACGCAAAACGATTCCCCTTACGAGATGATAACAATAATGATGAGGAGCCACGGCTACGGAAACTATATCTCGACTTTATCCGGGGTCGGTTTCCCAATATCAAGGACTATCTTCCACAGCGCCTTGCTGAATATATGGTCTTACAGCGGAAAAGAACTATAGTTAGGAGGTACTATCACAGAGCTCATCCGCTAAGGGTCGAACATATAGTACCGCGGCCCAAGATTGTACGCCCACAGTTTCTCCGCCACTCGCCAGAGCCGTCGGGTGAGGAATCGGAGGTGGAATCAGAGGTACCTCTCGCCAAAGGGATCACACCATCTCAGGCCGCAAAGGCCGCCGAATTAGCCGCCGAAATGTACAGACAAGACTCGGACTCGACGCCTTCGGCTTTTTCGGCTACGCAGACGTTTGCTCTAAGCAAGCATGAGGACCTTGTCTTTCCACCCGCCCCGAATGCTATGGCTAAACAAGTATATGGAGAACTAAAAAAGCGACGAAAGAAGACTCTCAAAGAACGCCTGACTAAAATCCCCGGCTTTGCAGATTATGAGAAATACAAGCGGCAGCCTTTCAAGGCCCATGCTAGATCAGCGTCATCACTCGCAAAGATTCACCGCAGGGTTACCAAGGAGAAGAAGAAATTCAGAGCCTGCCTCAAGCGGGATTGGATATGCTGCAATGTGAAAGTCGGAGAAGTGGTCTGCCCCTTTTGCCTCCATGTGCTTCCCGCCCTCTCCGTATCCGATGACGAGAGATGGAAGTAAGTGACTATTAACCCTCCCATCGCAAGAAATTTGTATTGACACATGTCTATGTGACGAGTTCTGACTAGCCTTTCCAGGGCCCATATTACAAGTGACCTCGAAATGTACGTTTGCCTGTTCGACAAGTGTGAAACACCAACGGAACCGTACTATGATAGCGACTCATGGTTCCTTCACATGCGCGATGGCCGTCGCTCGCAAAATCACGACGCACAGGACTCCATTGCTCAGGGAGAGTGCCCAATATGCGGCGCTAATCAGTTTGAAGATGGCTTAGAATGCCACATCGCGGGTCATTTGAAGTTCCTCGCGCTCAAGGCCTTGCCACTGCCACCCGGATACAACGGACCGCAGGGTTTTGAAGCTGCAAATAATACAGAGACGCATGCCCTGCCGGTTGTGGAAGATTCCATCGACGGCTCAGCTTGCAGTGATGATGGCGACGGTGAAGTGTCGCCAAGCCCGTACGCACCATGGTGAGGGCACAGCAAATACATTGATTAGGACGTGTCGGACGTGACAGACAGCGATTCTGTTGAGCAGTCATTGTTTGACGGGGTGCCAAAGGAGGACTGGGGATGTTGCGAATGGAGGTTTCTCACCAGGGCGAATGACAAACAATTCGGAAGCTTCCCGGATGAGCCCATCACTCAGTCAATTTATCGGATACAACGCTAGGGCGGTTTGAGCGCGGAAAGAGCTCTATGATCGGATTCGAAAGGGAGTTGAGGAGGCATACTGGATCAGTTCAAGCGACATGAGGCACTGGTTTCAGCCTTTCATGTCAGAGTCTGGGCAGAGAGGCTGCGAAAGGATGGAAGCAGAACGCATGGTCCGAGGCAGAATAAAGTAACGAGGGTTCAGTGGCTTTTTTACGAGTCGAGAAGAATGAAACGCAGATCATGTAACATTGACTCATTGGGAGAAAGAGCATGAGACTCTAAAACACATTTGGAAGGCGACGCGACAGCTCTGGACACAACGAAGACCAAGGAAGCACTGAAACTTTTTGGGGTGCATTCCATTGAACAGTTGTGTCATATTTGGTTTTTTGCATTTCTTGAATTAGCTTTTTACAATCATTGTTTGTTCCATGCACGCGAGCTCTTGGTGTGAGTCCCGTATAAACAACCCTCTTTGCTCTACCGATGAATCACATAGGACCAAAGCTTCGACATCTAGATCAAAACATTCCTGGAGTCCATGGAAGGATGACAATGTTCATTGGGGAGTTTACAAACGAGTCTTACACAGTGGGGTGAGCGACAGGTGAACCCCGTTGACTCGGGCATTTAATATCGTACGGTTACAGGGCTTTTTTGGCGGCGACCTTGATGTAAGGCGTGAAGCGGCAGATAGGGGCCTGGTTGACTCCAAAAGACACCGATTTTGACCATTTCAGGTAGCGAGTCGTGCGTCTGCAAGATGGCTATCTGAAGGGGGGGTTTAGAGTCCGGAAAATCTGTTGACGCAACTCCCATCCACAGAAGATGCATCGCGAAATGCCTGCCAGGCCGTAGATTAGCCTTAACGATATAAGTATTGTTTAGCCTTTAAAATTTGCTTCAAGTGAGCCCATCACCTGGTAGTGCCTTGACCAACCACCCTAGCCACTGCCTCGGGCAGCAACTACAAGAATTATCGCAATACTTCTTATAACCAAGTTCCAACCAAGATCCAGTTCACATTTCAATTCAATCTAAAGCTTCTAGTCCGCGACGGGTAGAGCTAGTGACTACAAGTAGTTCCCGGTATAGATTAACAATCGACGCTAATGCATCATCGTGAAACTAAGCGGTGGCGGAGCTTAAGCTGAGCTGGGGCTGAGCTACAGCATTGGCAGATGTATTTCTCCCACCAGACCAAATATGCACTAATATACTATCATTGAAAGTATATTGATGGCCAGGTACCTGATTTGGTTAAATACTCCGTCTCCCACTATGCCCAAGCTGAAATTAGAGACCAAGCCTGCTAGCTGATAACTCCGAGCGCAGAAGAACCCAAGATGGATCCTCAAGGGATGTACAGAAGCCACATCGTTTCATGACGCAGCCAAGTCCCTCTTCGTGGCTGTTCAATGGCGGAGGAACAAATCTCACATCCTCTCTTGGTGCGGTATATCTACAGCCAAGCCGTGGAGGTGCTTGTCTGGCCAGCACCTCCCACTCAAGCTCTACTTGGACATGTTGACATGATGAGAGGATGGAAGAAATTGCAAGAATTTCCGAGAAAGCAAATATTCGATACCTCACAATCATGTATACGCCCTTCTTGGTCTTGCCCACGATTCTCTTGGCATAGTGCCCGATTATACCCAGCCGTTCTGAGAGGTATTCATTGAGACAACGCCAAAATCATCCAAACAGCGAAAAGCCTGAAAATATTGTACGAGGCTTCAGGTACTAATGAGATTACCAAGGACCTAGACCGGACGATTCCTAGCTGGGTCACGGATTTCACCAAAAGGCGACAGCTTTTAAACGGGCCAGAAGTAACTCGTTTCGAGGGACATACCAGATTATCCTTGGAGAGCCTCTATACCTCAGGAGAATTAGGCACGCAACCTTGGAGGAGCCCAACGGGACATGGAGGGAAGAATTTGTCAGCAACAGATTTCAGCGGCATCAATCTTTCAAAGGCCCCAGTCAGCAGCACAGGCAAAAGAACGGGCCGATTAGTACCACAAGGGATTCGCATTGGCATGCTTCTCGAGCCCCGGTCACCTCTTCCTCGAGAAGCACGAAACAATTCTAGCTAGCAAGACTTGGTAAAGAAAATGGGCCCCTCCCAATGTCGAGAGCTCGCGGTATTTTATGAGCGAGGACGGCGAGAAGTAGAGGAGGTGGTTCTCTTGAATAACTAGTAGAAGGTCAGAAACATGCCGCAATCAGGGCCGGCAATATTCTCAATCAGGAAATGCGTGAGTCGCTTCGTCGGCGATGATTTCATATTGCGTGATCTATATCCGGAGGTGCTTCGGCAAATTAATTATTAATAGTGTTTGACAAGGCGGGTTAGGTTGGTAAAGCGGAGCAATGATCCTGGTCAAGTCAAAACGGTTATTCCGGCCGCGACAAACCCCGCCGTCCGTGGCCTGGCAGAGACGAGATGGCGAGAGGGTGTGCGGCGGCTCCTCCGTCTTGGCTGGTCTGCAGTGTGCATCGCACAGGCGACGACGCCTGCAGTCCAACTCCAAATAGGCAATCAAGCACATGAGATTGCGTCGACTGCGCCGGGAATAAATGAAAAGAACGTGCCGCCAAGGGTACGGGCAGCATTGGCTGGGCAGCTGGGACCAAACGCGGGGATGCCGTTTGGAGAGGGGAATTAAACAAGCCGCATCGAACCATGGAGACGACGGAGGGGGAGGAGCTCCAGTCCGAATTCGTCATGGGGAAGGCGCATTGCATGTGGCCATGGAGCCACCTTCCCGTTCGCATTCAGCATCTCCCACCTTTCCTCCCCATTGACTTTTAAAACTCGAAAATCGCCCAGATTTCTGTCCTTGAGCTGCAGAACTTGCCGCTTGTGTCTCGGATTTGCCCAGCAGCCCAGCGCCGACGTCCATCATGCCTGTCATCCGCGTGGGAACTGCTTCGCCGGCCACCGGCCCCACCAAGGCCGCGACCCTCCGACACTTGTCCGACCTGGCTCGCCGAGCTGCCGCCCAATCCATTGACATTCTCCTGCTCCCCGAGGCCTACATTGGCGGCTACCCGCGCGGCACCGCATTTGGCGCCGTCATTGGCGATCGCCCCTATGAGGGAAGAGAGGAGTTTGCCAGGTACTTTGACCAGGCTGCCGACTTGGGGGACACCGTAGGCGGGGGTGCCGGAGCGGGAGCTCGATGGGTCAAGAGGGAGCTTGGTGGTGATGATGACTTGCCGAGGGGAGATGGCACGAGGGAGGAGCTGGAGAAAATTGCCAGCGATACCGGCGTTTTCATTGTCACCGGCATCATTGAAAAGACGGGCGGCAGCCTATATTGCGCTGTAGTGTATGTGTGCCCCAAGGCCGGTATCATTGGAAAGCGACGCAAGGTCATGCCTGTGAGTTCTGGTCCATTGTCTTTTATTTTTCGTCACATCTCCTTCGTCTTCCGAGGGACGAATCTTTGCCTAACACTCGTCAGACCGGCACAGAACGCCTTTGCTGGGCTCAAGGATCGCCCGCCACCCTGAAGGCTGTATCAACCGTCATTCGGGGCCAACGAGTCAATATCGGTGCCGCCATCTGTTGGGAAAACTACATGCCCTTTGTCCGCCAAGCCCTTTACGAGCAAAACATCAACTTATACCTGGCCCCGACTGCAGACGGCCGAGATGCGTGGATGGGCCTCATGCGCACAGTCGGCGTCGAGGGGCGGTGCTTCGTTGTGAGCAGCAACATGGCGGTACGCAAAGACGGCAGCGCTCGGGTTGCATCGTCGCAGCCAAGCCCTACCCGTGCCCGAGCGAGACGCAGCTCGACATTTACTGACCAAGGCTTCGAAATTGCTCTGCCGTCTGTGAGCCCTACCCGTCGCAGGCGCAGAAAGTCTGTGTTTGACGAGGACGGCAACGAAATCGTTCTTGGGTGTGATGAATCAAACGGTGCCGAAAAGAATGGTACCGCCCCTGGAGCTCAACCCAAGTCAACCGTCGCCACGGCTGAAGGATGGGTGTCCCGCGGCGGGTCGTCGATTGTCAACCCGTTTGGAGACGTTCTCGCCGGGCCACAGTGGGAAGATGACGAGGGGCTCATCTTTGCGGATATTGATCTGAGAGAGTGCATCCGAGGAAGATTGGACCTTGATACGGCAGGGCACTATTCCCGGAATGATTCGTTCAAGTTTACTGTGACTGGACTAGACTTGGACCCCTTGCCGTACTAGTCTGATGTTGTTCAAAACCTGAGCAGACCAAGAATGGTACCGTGGATATGGATGCATCTGCTTAGGACGTGTGTGTTCATCATGTGTGCCACAACTCATGTATGATAAGATTGCAAGATATTCTCAACACAATTCATGCGCCCGAATGTCAAGTCTACAGAGGTGACACTCCTTCCATATTCCCAAAAAAGAAAGAAAAAAAAGAAAAAAAACTACTCGCTATGCCCCAAATTCCAATAAGATACTCCATGCCCATGACGGCCGTATCCCCAAGCCGCTGAATGCTCTTCGCTCGCAAAATCGATCAAACGCCCCAGACATCTCCCCCAAGACAAAATTACTACTGTCCCTACTCCCTCTTATCGCTCGGCTGCTGCGACCTCTGACACGGCCGCCACCCCTTCTCGGCCGCGTCGCAGGCCTTGCGCTCCGCCTCATCCTCCTTCCTCTGCCGCTCCAGCGCAGCCTGCGCCAGGATCTCACGCCGACTCATGCCGGCACCGATATTCCCACCGCCCCCGAGCACAAACTCGCCGCCCGTCCACCCGCCGTCGTCCTCGTGCTCGTCCTCCTCCCCGCCCGCCAGCCCCGCAACGGCATACCTCGACGTCTCGCCGACGGTGTGGCCGCCCGACTTCCAGTCCGCGGCGTCCACCTCCCGCTCGATCTGGCGGCACAGGTCCCAGAACTGCCGGTCGTGCGGGCCGTGCACGTTGTGCGCGAGCTCGTGGCACAGCGTCTTGCGGATGGTCTTGTAGTCGCGGTACCCGTCGTGGGCGTCGGTCCGCAGCCGCAGCTCAATGACCTCGCCCTGGTTGCGGTTGAGCCCGAGCGTCCTCGACGTGCCCTCGTGCGTGGCCTGCGTGTGCGCCAGCGGCTCCATCTCGGTCAGCAGCGACACGGTGAACCTGTGCTTCCGCATGGCGGCCCTGACGCCCGGGTCCTCCTTGAGCCGCAGCAGCAGCTTCTGGCTCGTCTCGGGGTGCGGCAGGCCCTGCAGCGGCCGGACCTGGAGAAAGGTGTACCTGGCGTCGTCGGGGGACCTGGGCCGGCTCCGCCGCTGCGCGTGGTGCTTCATCTTGGCCTTTTGCGCCGCGCGCGCGGCGTTTCTCTGCGCGACCTTGGCCGACATGTCCTGGACGGCCTGGGCCTCGGCGGCGCCGCAGCCCAGGAGCGTCAGCGTCTTTCCTTGCAGGCCGGCGAGCGGCATGTCGGGCTGCTTCAAGGGCGACTTGAGCAGGGGGCCCTTGGGCACGAGTATCTTTTGGTGGGCGACGGGGATGTCGAGCGTCGCCGCGATGTCGTCGAATAAGTCGGTCACGGTGGCGTCTTCTGCCAGCTCAAATGTGTAGTTGTGCTTGCGGTGGGACACGGTGATGGTGACCCAGCCCGACTCGGAGCCCGATGCGCAGCTCTCGTGTGCGTCGGCCATGGTTGTATTGGTAAAGGTAAAGTGTGGTTTCAAGAGCGAGGTCACTGAGGTGGAGTGGTGATGTATAGGTCTTATATAGGAATGATGACAAATGCGGCAATGGGGTGCTTATGCTTTGCTTTGTAGTTTCTCTGGCGGTTCTGAAACAAGGGTCTGGTTGGGAATAACCCCGGGTGTAAAAGGTGGTATGAAAACTGAGTATTTTATACAAAGATGGGGTGCTTTTTTTTTGGATTGCTTTGTTCTCATGCTGCCCGTTTCATTACGCTAGGGGGGCGAGGATGGCCGGAGAATCAAAGCAAAGGCTAATTAATTTGTAATATATATGCCGATGACCGCGCGGTACGAGTTTAGCCGGCTGCGCCACATGCCCGTCTCGCTGGCAAAGGGAGGCGCATGACCGTGTGGCTTAGGTAAGATTCCCAGGCAGGTGCCAGTTGACCCCTAAAGGTTGGTTGGCCCGCTGTAATGAAAGCTGCAATAGGGTGCATGTCCACTGTAATCTGGAATTTTTCGGACCGTTGACGGAGTTAGGCTGCTTGTGGCCTTGTGAGCCGCTTGCGGCACCGCCATCTTCGCTTTGTCAGTCGGCACTGGGATAAATCAGGTGTTCAACGGTTCCATGTACCAGACAGACAGCCGAAACTCGATGTCAGCGATTCATTGCAGGTGGTGCAAATGCAAGGCAGCCCTGTCAGCGAATTGCTGCCGCTTAATTGACGGCCGTGTTTTACTTCAATACACCAGGTGTATGCCACGAATTTTTAAATTGAAACGTGTTTACAATACGCGCTCGCCATCTCCCCAAGATACTCAGGGCAAGTACATGCATGTACTCCGTACCAGCCCCATACCACGACTCTTCAACTTAATTCCGGACTAGTCCTGGACGTCTGGATCAATGACTGCATGTGCCCTGGCATCTGTGTGCTCCTGATTCTGAGACCTGTTGGTTACCAGCGATTTGTGGGCCCGACGAGCTCTCTAACCAGTCACCGTTCAGAGTCTTGCTCCTAAAAGCTAATAACGTACCCGCGTCGTGTCCTTTTTGATCGCACTACATGCTTAGTACTCGCTGGCCATCGAATTGAGCTCCCTTCTCCTGTTCGATTCATACAACCCTCGATTTCTCGAAACTAGCAATACCCATCGCGGACGGCAACCTCCTCATCTCTTCTCCAACCAGAAGAGTCCTTCGCTTCCAATTGTTCAACCCGTGCGAATCCATCGACGCGCCTTCTGTCGCAAGTGCGCAACCGTCAAAATGGTCCTCAACGTATTCCGTATTGCTGGTGCGTCACCCGCCGCTGCTCGGCTCATCCCTCCCTTGCGCTGCGCGATCCATCATGTAGACACAGAAATGGCAGCTAACTCTTCTCGCAGCGGATTTCTCGCATTTGGCGAGTATCCTAATCTTGCTGCACAAGATGACCCAGCTCAACGTACAATTAACCCCCCTCCGCGCCCCTCGGAGACAACCGCAACTCAACCGAACGTGCTCGTTACAACAGTCGCTAACATTCCGCAGAGCTGTTCTGGCATCTCGTTCAAATCACAAGCCCTCTACCTCTTTGTCTACGTGACGCGATATCTCGGTACGCTTCGAACTGCACTCCCTTCTCAGGGGCAACCTGCAAATGCTAACAAGCAACCTGTGCAGACCTTTTCTCGACCGAGAGTTTATACAACTTGGCCTTTAAAATCATGTTCATCGGATCCCAGGGATACATCATCTACCTCATGACCAACGCCTACAAGCCTACAAACGATCCCAACGTCGACACCTTCCGCGTCCAGTACCTCCTCGCTGGCGCCGCCGTGCTGGCCGTTTTGTTCCCTTACAAGTACACCTTTTCCGAAATCATGTGGGCCTTTTCCATCTGGCTGGAGTCTGTGGCCATCCTTCCCCAGCTCTTCATGCTTCAGAGAACTGGCGAGGCCGAAACCATCACAACTCACTACCTGTTCGCCCTGGGTAGCTACCGAGCCCTGTACATTCCCAACTGGATCTACCGATATTTCATGGACACTCACTACAAGACTGATTGGATCGCCATCATTGCCGGCATCATTCAGACTGTCTTGTATAGTGACTTCTTCTACGTCTACTACACCAAGGTCCTCAAGGGCAAGAAGTTCAAGCTCCCCGTCTAAGTAGCCCACTAGCTGCATGGATATCCCTCGGTGAGGTTCAATCATGTTCGAGATATCTGGATCATCCACGACAATGCTTTCCGAACCAACTACACAGACATGGCGAATAACGGCCATCTCTACAACACGCTAACAATGCGTTATTTTTTTGCGTTTTGTAAGCATGTACAGTGCTTCAATCCGCAAATAGCATAAAAGAATTACATTACTGCCGTTAAATGGCTGGCATGGTGGCGTTGAAGGCGAAAATACTGACATTTAGTGGTCGTGAGATTTGACGTTTGCACGGCCAAGGTGTATATTGACCCTGGCATGATGCTACAATAATAGAAGGAGACGATGTGTCTATGGAATATTAAAAGGGACGATGACAAGGGGCAGAAATGATGACCCGTCTTCACGGCACAGTCAGGCTAGTCCACCTTGTAGCTTAGCAAATAGTGACGCGAGGTGCATGCATCTTGTTTCGGAACATGTGAGCCGTGATTCGACATGTGAGGTGATGGCGGGAAGCTGACGCATAAAGGCGCCACAAACGGCGATGCAGATATAAAAACCCAGCAAAATAATTCAAACCAGACTTTAAGCTCATACAATCCAAACTTATGAAGAAAACAGCGGTAGAACCTTTCAATTCAAACCCAGTTTTGAACCAGACAAAGAGTGGAGTCACGTGATATCGCCTCGCATGACATCGTTCTTCGATCCCCTGCTTCCAATCATCAAAACCATCAACCACAAGTCAACCACGTCCAAGCTCGGCATCCCAAAAAAAAATGACGAGCGAGGCGCCAGAGAATCCCAGTTCCCAGCCAGCCACTCAAAACGGGCAGGCGGAACAGCAGGAAATCCCCGATGGCCCAAATCCCCCGCCCGAGCTCCCGTCAGGCCAAGATCGACTGCCAACGCGAAAGGATACATCACTACGAGAGTTCTTGAACAAGATCGACGACTGCGCCCCCATTGTAAGTCGTTCCCAGACGCGGGCGCCGCCGCCCAAATCAATCGCGGCAGGTGACTGACCAGACTCGCGATAGATTCCCGACGCCGTAACCAGCTACTACATGACCAAGGCGGGCCTCCCGCCGCCGCCGCAGACCGACGCCCGCCTGGCGCGGCTGCTCGCGCTGGCGACGCAAAAGTTCATCGCCGACATTGCCGCCGACGCGTACCAGTACAGCCGCATCCGCGCCTCGAGCAACACCAACAACCCGATGGGCACGCTCGGCGCGGCCGCTGGGTTCCCCATCCCCGGGCAGCAGGCGGGCCAGCCTGGCAACAAGGACCAGGGCAAGGGCGCGCCGCTGGGGATCCAGCGCCCCGGGTACGGAGGCGGAGGGCAGGGCGGGAGCCAGAACAGGACGGTTCTGACCATGGAGGATCTGGGCATGGCGGTGGGGGAGTATGGCGTCAATGTGAAGCGGAGCGAGTTTTATCGCTAGATGGCGGAGCATGGGGTCTTGTACATTACTCTCGTCTCAGGACCGGCGTAGTCAACGGCTTGTTTTTTTGTTGTTGTTGTTTTTTGCTTTGGAATTCGGGAGCTTGGCGTCTTGGAGGGCGGTTCAGCTAGATGATGGAGTGCTTGGCTCACGGCGTTGGTTTCTTTTATTGTCGGCACACGACGCAAGGGCATGGCAGAAATACAAGGAATTGCTGCTTATGAAACGAAAAAAAGAAAACACAACTTCTACTAAACAAGGCTGAGTGCCTTGTGTTGTCATCTTTGTCATTGCTCGCCATATTGTTACAGGTCTTTTGTACAAGTCGCAGCAAATACCAATCCGGCTCATCCCACCCCATGGTCCTACTTTCTATCCCAGATGTTCGGCTTTCGAGTCCTGTCGCGCCAGTGGTCAGCATTGTCTCCCTCTCCCCCTTTTGCAAACCCATTTAACGAAGCGAGGTACAAACGTACGGTGAGAACTCGCCCAGCTTGTGTCCAACCATGTCCTCTGTTATCGTCACCTGGTGGTAGTCCTTGCCATTGTGAATCTCAAACTTGAGCCCGACAAAGTTGGGCAAAACGGTCGCCGAGCGGGCTTGTGTTCGCACGGGCGGGACTTTATCGCCTTGTTTCTTGGGGAATACAATCGGGAGCCTGGGGAACATTGCAAATCATTAGGGATACTGTTCGAGGGGGTGGTTTGCGGGAAATCGAGGTCGTCAAACATACGGAACAAGGTGTGGCCCTGTGCGGTTGTAATCAGCAATTGGGTTTACTTTTCGGCGATTTTGGGGGGGCGTCGATGCGTACCTTTCCACACGGAGCGCTTCAACAGCGCTCGAGTTGCTTGCATTTTGGATCTGGGAGTCGGTGACTGCGCAGACTGTCAGTCGCGAGATAGGTCTGTCGGGGTGGACTGAGGTTGACCAAAAGTCGTATGTGGTCACGTGACTTTGATAGATGAACAGTGTGGACTTGCATGTTGTAACGGATACGTAAATCATCAGCAGTCTGCCTTTTGGATTATTTGGGGTGTAGCCATGTGTACCAAGGTATATATTCGTGTACAATTCTGTATATCATGTCGAGTTTTGAGTACTGGAATTGAGTAATGAAAACTGCAGGCTATATTTGTGTTCGAGCCAGTAGAGACGTACGTGTAGGTGCGGCCTTCAATGTTGTGCAGAGGGGTCTTGGAAGCACTGCTTATTTTTACGTTGGAAAATCCAGCTTTGCTGCAAAACCTTTAAAAACAAAACAATAAAAAGATGAAATAAAGAATTAAACCAACTATTCATTACTCTGTCCTACACGCACTTTTGCAGGACGGTAATAACCTTTTGAGGCGAATCATAAAGACAGGCATTTAAATTCCCGGGTAGGCATCTCACCATCACGTGGCGGTTCGACCGCTGGGCGTTCCCCAGGCCAGTTCGCCTTGGTGGCTCTAGCGTCTCGAACGGCCCGCAGGCTACCAAATTATTGTGGACAGAATTCCGTCTCTAGTACGACAACGCATCCATCCGTCATTTTGCTATTTTGCATTTGCATCGGGGCAGCAGGGCATTCGAATTGTTTGCATGCCAGAATCTTGGCGATTTCCCCCCAAATCAGCGTCGAATTTCATTGCCGAACCGGTTTCGTGTTGGACAGACACCAACGCTCCTTGTGCCGCTCCAGGAGCCCCTTCTGCCTGCCCGCCTTGCAGGAAGCGGCGTTGGATCGAATTCCGCCAGCCAGCCTGACCGACGGACGCGCACGCCCGTTTGCGCCGGCATCAAGCAAAGTTTCGAAAAGCTCGCACGTTCCATAGGCGGATACAACCACGACAACTATCCCTACGCCCTTCCACCTCCCCATCGATGCCTAGCGCTACAGCATCCGGGGCGAACCCGGGCGGCGACTCGTCGGCTCGTTCCCGCGATCACAATCAAGGAAACCAGGGGCGAGCGTACACAGAGGATCAAAAGGCGGCCGTCATACGTATTCGAAAATGCAAGGCCACCGCCTTTTACGACATCCTGGCACTGGAAAGCGTCAAGACGACCTGCACGGAAGCGGACATCAAGAAGGCCTATCGAAAACAGTCCCTGTTGACCCATCCGGATAAAAATGGCCACGAGCACGCCGACGAGGCCTTCAAGATGGTCAGCCGAGCGTTTGGCATCCTGGGCGACAAGGAGAAGCGAGAAAAGTATGACAGGTTCGGCACCGACCCGGACAGCAGATTTGCCGCGGCACAGGCGCAGAATCCGTTTGCGGGATTTGCCTCGCGACAGGCGTCGGGGGGCATGGGCCGCGGCGGCGCGGGCATGTGGGAGGAAGAGATCAGCCCAGAGGAGATGTTTGCGAGGTTCTTTGGCGGCGGCGGAGGATTCGGCGGCGGCGGCCCGTTCGGAGGTGAGATACCGACATTGACCCCGAGGTGCTTCTCGGCCCGGAACAGCGTGTACTGACGGAGCAGCGTTCGACACAGGACCCCAGTTTGTCTTCAACCTCGGTGGCGGCCCTGGCATCCGGGTCCACCAGTTTGGCGGCGCGAGACCGAGGCGACGACCGCGGGAGGCGCAAGAGGCCGAGCAACAACAGGGCGGGCTGCAGAACCTGATGACTCTGCTGCCCATATTGATCTTCTTCATCTTGCCCATGCTCTCGTCCCTGTTTACGGGCGGGTCCTCGGGCTCCTCCGTTCCCATGCGATACGACGACCCCCAGCCGCCGTACACGGAGAGACGCTACACGCCCAACCACAAGGTCAAGTATTTTGTCAACCCCAAGGACGTCCAGTCGTTTAGCAAGTCCAAGCTCGCGCAGCTGGATCATACGGCCGAGGCCAATTTCATCCGCTTCCTGGACAACAAGTGCGAGCACGAAAATATTGCCCAGCGCCGCCTGCGGGAGGATGCCATGGGATGGTTCTACGAGGATGTGGAGAAGATGGAACAGGCGAACCGGTATCCCAAGCCAAACTGTGACCGGTTGAGATCGTTGGGGTACAGGCGGACATGAGACATGGTAGCCACCCCCCTTTTTTTACAGCAAGACTATGAGCCAAGACAAGACGTAATTTTTTTCTCTCTCTGCACGATTCTACTCTTGTTTGTACAGACATGTAGCCTTTTCTTGTATTGAAACGAAGAGCTCGGAGTTTGGTGGGCTTATATTCTATTTTTATTATCTAGTTGGTTTCCGCATTGGCGATGGCCGAGCATAAAGTGCATGGCATGACATGGCATGACGGGGGGTTAGCGGATAATAAGCACGCTAGTGTCGTGGGACTAGAGAAGGGGTGCGTGTGCGTGTGCGTATGTAGACAATGGTGGTGTAGAAGGTTTCTTCCGTCATGAATATGAGAATGTACTGGTGCTGGACTGTCTAGTGTTGTAGGCGTAAGCACGGAGCATGCGTGATGGCACGAGGCATGTGTCTCTGAAGACATGAAAGCACCAAGGCGGCAGATGGATTATCCACGTTTTGTTTCTTCATCCTCTATAGCCACACGAAGCCCACGCCGCCTATAGTATTGTGTTTTTTTTTTAAAATGAAAAACGATGTAAAAATAAGGGCGTCAAAGATTGCCGGTCCGGAGAATCAAGCCTCTATTCTATCCATGCCACGTTCCGATACGCCGATTCTATAACGTCTGGTCAAGTGTCTGGTGGAATGGCGCCCGTCTCCCGCGCCAGGCGCAGCACCTCGGCGACGACGGCCTTGACATCGGCCGTCTTGACGGGCAGGCGGTGGCCGGCATCCCACTCGACGAGGCGGGCAGTGGCGGGAGCGCAGTAGTGCTCGAGCAGGCAGCGGTGCCTCTGGATGCCGGGGTCCTGCAGGCCGTGGACGTGCAGGGTGGGCAGGCGCAGGACGTGGAGGCCGCGCGGGGGCTCGTCGGGGTCCGGGTAGTCGGTGAAGTCGGTGCTGAAGGCGTCGGGGCGGGCGACGTGCGGCGGGGGCGGCGGCAGGCGCAGGTCGAGGTGCAGGACCGGGGCGCTGCCGGCCATGAGCACGGCGAAGCGGAAGGCGGTCCTCGCGCGGCCGGGGCCCAGGACCTCGTCGGCGCGCTGCTGCGCCCACAGCAGGCTCGCGGCCACCTTGGCGCCCTGCGAGAAGCCCAGCACCGCCGCCCACGGCCCGTCGCCGGCGTCGCGCTCCATGGCGGCCAGGCACGCGTCCATGACGTCGCCGGCGCGCGCCCACGGCGGCAGGCCCGGCTCCTCGCGGCTCCACGCGAGCCAGCGGTAGAAGGGGGCGAAGTCGCCGTAGACGGTGACGATGTCGCGGTGCGGCCGGGACGTGTAGGGCGCGTCCATGAAGACGAAGCGGAAGCGGTGGCCGAGCTGCGCGATGATGGCGCGGCACTGCAGCCGGAAGACGGTGCCGTTGACGCCGCCGCCGTGCAGGCACAGGATGCGGGGGAGGGAGAGCGTGTCGTCGACCGTCATTGTGTGTGCTGGCGATGTGTGGGCGTGGGAGGAGGATGATGGTGGTGAGTTTGCGTCGCTTCGGAGTTTCTCTCTCTCTCTTTTTTTCTTTTTTTGGCACGCCGATGGGGGCCGGAGCAAGAATGCTGCGGCCGATGACAAAGGGTCAGAACGTGGCAGGTAACGTCAAGTGGTGGTCGGCGAGACGGTCTCGGAGTTTGGCGTGCATGACGCCATTGGTGCGGCGGTGCTTGCTGACGGCCGCACTCGGAGGAATTGTCAATCGAATGTTTCGTCTCTGCCAAGCGGGCGTGCGGCGCCTTTGTACTTGTTTCATGGCACTTGCTCATCTATCGTGTATCAACGTCGCGGCCGACGGGACCTAATTTGTCGACGAGCCGTGCCGCCATTTGGCCGGGATGAGTCTGGGTGATCAACAGGGTCCTGGCCTCCAACGGTCACGCCAAAGGCCAACTGCAAAGGCCTGGTAGCATTGATGCTGCGCCAGGCCGTCGAATCAATGTGCCCCCTCAGCCACACACAATGACATCAGTGGTGAGCGGCCGCCCGCGTGGCCCACCAGACGTCCAAGGCTGCGCCGATTGTTCAAGTTTCAAGTGACAAATGGCGACATATAACCCGCCGCTCGCCTTGCTTGCTTGGAACCAAATCACCCCAACGCACTTGTGCAATCGTCTCGCCATCCCGTACAGACTCGCCGCCACCATGTCCAGCAACGAAAAGCCCGGCGAGGGCGCTGCCGAGCTCAGCGGCAACACTTACTACCCGCCGCCGCCGCCTGGCCCTCCTCCGTCACAGCAGGGTCCGCCTGAGCAACAGCAGCAACAGCAGCAGCATTTGCAGCAGCCTCTCGCTCAGCAGTATCAGCCGCATCCCCAGCAGCAGCCAGACCAGCAGCAGTATTTCCCTCCTCCACCAGGTCCGGCCGACGAGAAGCAGTCTCACGTGCAGCAGCAGCAGCAGCAACCATACTTTCCTCCGCCGCCGCCAGCTCCACATGCAGCCGACGAGACGCAGTCTCACCAGCAGCAGCAGCCGCAGCAACAGCATCAACAGCAGCATCAGCAGCCCTCCTTCCCCCCTCCGCCGCCCGCTTCGGCCGATGACAAGCAGTCTCACCACCACCAGCAGAGCGCATATGCCATACCAGCATACAATCCCGCCAATCCAGCCTTTGCCCCGCCCCCAACAGCTCAACATGACGCCCAAACAACGACGGGGCATCCAGGTCCGGCACAGTCGTACGCTCACCAACCACCACCACAGCCTCAACACCAGCAGCCGCCGCCGCAGCAATCCTCACAAACTGCTCCCAAAAAGTCCGGCTGGGGCGATCGATTCAAGCATTTTGTCAGCGCCGGAGCCGCCGCTCCCATCAACAGCCTTGCCCACAAGCTCGGCAGCCAAAGCTTCTTGCCCGAAACCCTGGACAAAGAATGCGACAAGTCAGCCGCCATCCTGAGATCTTTCTGCAGTATGTACACGCACAAAGAAGCACCTGGCCCGTTCCAAAACTAACACGCACATTCCCGCAGCCAAAGGTGTCTACGCTGACCCCGGGGCCGGCCAACCCCCAACCTCTACCGATCCGAAAGCCCACGAGTCTAGCAGCGGCGTCATTGACCCGACCAAGGAGAAGCCCAAGAACCGCGTCATTGTCACCATCCCGCCCAAGGTTATTTCCAAAGCAGTCGGCCTCGCCATCTTCACCACTCTCCGTGCTGGCTTCCAGGTCTCTGGCGCCACGGGCTCCGGCGTCCTGATTGCGCGGCTGCCCGATGGATCGTGGAGCCCGCCCTCGGGCATCCAGGTGCACTCCGTCGGCGGAGGCTTCCAGATCGGCCTCGACATTTACGACTGCGTCTGCGTCATCAACAGCAGGGAGGCCCTTGCCGCCTTCATGAACACCCGCGTCAGCCTCGGGAGCGACTTGGCCGTCGTGGCCGGGCCCTATGGTGCCGGGGGCGCCGTGGATTTCGGCACCGCCGTGCAGCGCGGGAGAGACGACAAGGACAGCAAGGCCACCGCGGCTTCGGACGCGCAGCCCGCAGCCGCCGAAGCCCAGCCCTCGAGTGCGCTCAAGCCCGACGCGGGGGCGGCGTCCAAGGACCCGAAGCGCCGGAGTCTCAGTACCAGCGCCTTCAAGCCCGTCTTCTCGTACGTCAAGTCGAGGGGGTTCTATGCTGGCATCCAGGTCGACGGCACCGTCGTCGTGGAGCGCAAGGACGCCAACGCCTCGTTTTACGGAGCTCCCGTCACGGTGCAGCAGATCCTGCAGGGACAAGTTCCTCCCCAGGGGCCTCGGGACATGTGGCCCGTTGGCGCTCGCGCGCTGCTCGAGACGCTCCGCGGTGCTGAGGCGGGAGCCCTGGGTCACCACTCGTCTGCATCTGCATCTGCATCTGCATCTGGGGCGGCAGGTCATCCGGGGTCTGGAGCTGTGCCCTTGGCGAATGCGCCGCCTGCGGGTGCTGCACCTGGTGAAGCTTCGTCTGGTGCGCCGCCGGCGTATGTAGATGATGGGAGTCATGCGCATGTTGGCGATGTCAAGTATGCGTAGTGGGTGTGGCGTTTGCAAGCCAGAAAAAAGGGAAAAAAAGGGCAATCAAGTAATGAAAGCGCGTCCGGTAACAGTAACAGAAACTCATGTATACCATTATTGTTGACATTTTGTGGTTTTCGGCCGTGACTGCGGCGACACTATTGTAGATGCCTTTAGCATGGCTACATATGTAGCTTGAAGTACAGGATACCCGGTTAGTAACTTACACTTTGCACCGCGCTCCTGCTTCAACCAAGAGGCCACAGGTGCAGACGAATGTCACCCATGCGTGAACTGGTCTCGGCGTGGCCATCTGTGGACGTGGGGTAACATGAACTCCAAGTTGCGAAGCGACCAGCATCGCGAAGGCGGGGTAATTATTACAAGTCACTTCTCGAATGTTACCCCCGCAGGACTGTAATGTTGCATTGTGTCGGGAGAGGTGTCTGGTGCTTTGGATATATATGTTTTGACAGCCAATGTCCCGAAAACCCGTCTCGTTGCTCACTTTCCCCCCCACGACGAGACCCTCTGCTCCGACGGAAGCAAAAGCTCGTGCGACAAGTAACCCTAACCCTCATGGACCAGTACGCCATATATCCCAGCCTCCGCGGCAAAGTCGTCCTGATCCCCGGCGCCGCAGAGGGCATCGGCGCCGCCGCCGTGGAGCTCTTCTGCCGACAGGGCTCGCAGGTCGTCTTCCTGGACATTGCGGACGACTCGGCGCGCGAGCTGGTGGACCGGCTGGCGTCGGTCTCTGGCGCCACGACGCCGACCTTTATGCACTGCGACGTGACGGACCTCGAGGGGCTCGGCGAGTGCGCGCAGACGGTGCTCGCGCGGTTCGGCCGCGTCGACGTGCTCGTCAACAACGCCGGGTGTGCCGGGCCCGGGTCGCGCGTGCCCACGAGCCGGGTGACGCCGGCGTCGTTTGAGCGCGACGTCAACGTCAACCTGCGGCACCAGTTCTTCCTGACGCAGCACGTCGCGCCGGCCATGCAGCGCCAGGGCGGCGGCAGCATCATCAACATGGGCTCCATCACCTGGCGCATCCCCGCGACCGAGGTGCCCGTCTACACGACCTGCAAGGCCGCCGTCGTCGGCATGACCAGGACGCACGCCCGCGAGTTTGGAGGCCACGGCGTCCGCGTCAACAGCATCATGCCGGGGTCCATTGCTACGCGGCGCCAGATCGACACCGTGCTCACCGACGAGTACAGGGCCGAGAGCCTGGCCGCACAGTGTCTGAAGCGCGTCCTGCTGCCTGTCGAGGTTGCGAGGCTGATGCTGTTTTTGGCGTCGGATGACTCGAGTGCCATTACTGGTGGGAGCCACGTGTGCGACGGGGGGTGGGTTGGTGATACTTGAGCATCATCAATCGAGACGAGCGCACTTACAGGTTGTGTGGATGGATGTGGTCACTGGTGGGCGAGGGGCTCTCGTTGGGTCTGGTCGTGTCTGGAAAGCTCTTGGGGCGAAATGTAAGAATGAAAAAAAAGAGTGGAAATTAATACGAATAATAAATTGAAATTCGAATAAATAAACACATTTGATACAAATGAAAATATATAGCCAATACTTCTCGTTCCTTGTGCCTGGCAGGTGACAGTGACGTCAGAGCTGGTCAGCTAGTCGATGCTGACTCACCATGCTGTGCCCCTCCATGATCAAACAGCCCCGACTTGACCAAGAAACAACAGCAGGCCAATCTTTCATGCACGCCTGGTCGGGTCGACATCTCGCGTTCCCTGCAACAACGCCCTCTGCGCCCCATGACTCAAGGCAAGATAAAAATGCGCGACTGTAGCATGTACGCATAGGCTGCGCATCCAGGACCTTGAATTTCCCACAATGGCGACGTGAGTTGAACCCTGACAAGCCGACCACGAGACTGAGCTGGCGTCACATCCCATGCCGCAAAACACAGGCACAGGCACAGGCGCAGCATCGTTGCTAACAGTGGTGGTACTAGCACCGGCAGCATATTGTCGCTGCCTTTTCGGCGATCGACGCAGCTATCTCTCGCCTCCGTCATCCGGCAGTACATCAACAGCAAGTATGACCAGCATCCAGACATGTTCAAACAGGACCTCGAGGTCATTGATGCGCTGCGCCAAGATGCCATCAATGTTCGCGAGCCACATCCAAGCGGCATCAAGAAGCTCCAAGCTTATGCAGGACAATTGGCTTGGATATCAGGAAAATTTCCAATCGATGTACGTCGTCGCATCCCCGCATCCTGCCCCTTCTGAGCGCCGCTGACAACGAGCCCCTCGTCCCCATCGCGACAGATTGGTGCGGAATTCACCTGGTATCCCGCCCTAGGGTACAACACGGAGCGGCCCATGGTGCGAAACAACATCAAGTACGAGCTCCTCAACGTCCTTTACAACTTGGCAGCCTTGTACTCGCAGCTCGCGGTCAACACGTCCCGAGGGACGGCCGAAGGCATCAAGACCGCCGCCAACCAGTTTTCGCTCGCCGCTGGAGTGCTTTCTCACATGAAGAAAGAAGTCGTGCCCTTGCTTCGCATGTACGACCCCCCCGAGGACATGGATGAACACACCTTGGAGTCCCTGATGCAGTTATTTCTTGCACAGAGCCAAGAGTGCTTTTGGCAGAAAGCTGTTGTCGATGGGTACAAGGATGCATCAATAGCAAAGCTAGCTGCTAGAGTATCCGACCTGTATAATTTGGCCGGCGAGGCAGCCATGAAGAGCGAAGCCATAAGCAGCGCCTGGATTCACCACATGACTGCAAAGCACCACCATTTTGCAGCAGCAGCGCAGTACCGTGCTGCGTGTGACTGCCTTGAAAAGAGGAGGTATGGCGAGGAGGTTGCTAGACTAACAGACGCAGTTGCGTGCGTGACGGAAGGTCTTAAGGAGACCAAAGGCGGCTATCTCAACAAGACTGTTGTCGACGACCTGAACGGGCTCAAGAGAAAGGTGGAGGAGGACCTTAAGCGAGCCGAAAAGGACAATGACATGATTTTCTTGAGTAAGTGAAAAAAAAAAAAATCGCTTTTACTAACCCCAGGGGGCGCGTAAGCAAGTAGGCTAACACTACTTAGATCCCGTCCCTCCGAAATCAGAGCTCAAGACGCTGGAGAGAGCCAACATGGCGGTTGCTCGTGTGCCGCCTCAAGTGGCGAACCCATTTGACTTCCTTGGCGACCGAGCAGAGTTCGGCCCTGCGTTGTTTTCAAGGCTGGTGCCCTTTTCCGTTCATGTCGCCATCTCCATATACGAAGAGCGTCGCGATCGGATGGTCAACCAAAACATCATCCAGGACCTGGAAGGTCTCAACGACAAAATCCACTCCTTGTTCAGCGCCATTGGCCTCCCTGGCTCGCTCCAGGCGTTGGAGAAGCCTCTTGGCTTACCCCCAAGTCTAGTACAGCATGCGGAGGAATTGAGACAAGCAGACGCGATAGGTCGACTCCGAAAGAGCTTTACGGATATTGATAAGCTACGGGCTGCAGATATCGCCATCTTCGAGGAAGGGACGTCGGCCCTGGCGGCTGAACGGGAAGAGGACCAGAAGGCGAGGAGGAAGTATGGCACCGATCGGTGGACGCGACCCGAGAGCCAGAGCGACGCCCAGGGCGGAAAGTTGTGGGGACATGCCGACGAAATTGAAGGATATTTTGCGAGCAGCGCCAGCAGCGATGGTGTCGTGCGAGAAAAGTTCACTGCCAACGAGGAGCTGCTACATGTTTTGTGCGGATCGGACAGGGGCCTGATGGATTTCGTGCCGTCAAGCTCTCAACGGGACACGAATCCTGAGCTCAAGGCATCTGTCGGCAAACTGCGAAGCGCGTACAACGATATCCTACGACTGGAAAGCAGAAGAAGAAAAAAGGTTGAGACACTGCGAGAAAATGCGCGCAAAGACGACATCAAGCCGGATATCCTGAAAGAAGCTGCCAGGTTGGAGAGAACGTACCCCTCGACTGCGATTGTTCCGGCTCACTTTGAAGACTTTTTCGAAAAGCGTCTGGATCGTTTATATGAGCCAGAGCTGGACGCCCTGGATAAAGAATCGCTCGAACAGGACAGACTATTGAAAGAAGTGGAACGGGCAAACGCAGAATTCGAGTCCCAGAAACGCAGATGTGGAGACCGAGGCTCTCGAGAGCGAGAACAGGCGCTGCAGAAGCTGGACAGTGCATATTTCAAGTACAAGGAAATCATCAACAACCTGGAAGTGGGCAGGAAATTTTACAATGACCTCAACAAGATTGTTGGACAGGGCTTTCGAGATGTTGTCAAGGGCTGGGTGGCACAGCGGCGTATGGAGGCCAGGGTGCTGGAAGAGTAAGTTTACCATCTATCCTATTTGCGTCGTCGGGTTGTGCATAGTTTTTTGCTTGCTGACCAGTACCACCAGAGAACTGAGCATGCCGCCACTTTCAACACTCAACTTGTCGCGCGACCACGCCCCTCTGCAAGGTGCTTCCACAACACAGTATCAAGCAGCGCAGCCGGCTTACTTTGCGCCCGAGCCGGTTGCGCAGCACCATCAAACATCGCCCCAAAGACAAAATGACCATGCAGCAGGGCAGTCGACACCCAACCCGGTCGAAGCCTCCATACAGTCTTGGGCTGGTGAAGCGGTACGGCAGCCACAGCCGGTGGCACCGCAGACAACGAATCCAATGACGACAATGTGGAATCCAGCCATGGGGATCAAGTTTGGCGGTGGTGGTCCGCCGGCACCGAGGACTGATGGTGGGCAACAGCCAGGCGGTGGATCAGCAACAACTTGGAATCCCGCGTCGGGAATCAAGTTTGGCTGATGTCATGACATGTAGCGTCGGTAACTGGCGTATGTATAATCTGAGATGACTGGGCAGGCGGACACGAAGCACAATTGTTGATGGGCATGTAGTCCAAAATCGGGCTGCCAAATTTAGACAAGATGTATCGCGCCTAGCGGGCATTATATGTTGAACTGACGGAATAATCTCGTCCGATTGGGGACTGCCTATGAGGACCTAGGAAACATGATATTTAGTCTGCCATCGACACTGTCAACGGGTGAAATGCGGGCATCTACAACCAAGAGGCCAACTGGTACAAGGTTCAATAACAGGCTTGTGGAATTCCTTGTTGCTTGGTGTGATTAAACCGTGAAAACACTAACCTCTTTTTGGTTATTGTAAAGTTCGGTAGTATTTTCGCCCATCCTTGGCATTGTCCTTTTGCCAAGTGCAGGGTGGGGTGCCTAAATGACAACCGCTCTTTATGGGTCTGCGCTGTAATGATGGATTGAGTATATTTTAAACTACAACGCTAACGGCATCATGGCCTTTTAAATCCTTGCATTCGGGCCCACCGACTTCTCATTTACAATGGCCTTGATAACTGCGATTATGATATCTAGTAACTGCGCTGTTTCGACCAGTATGTACAACGCAACATGTGACTGGACCTTGATAACTGGGATTGCGATTCTGATACTTGATAATAATTGACGTATTTGACACTACTAATATAGTGGGAGTCAAGTATGATGCCTGCGTAGGTAGCTATTATACTACGTCCCAGTAAGACAAGACACCAGTGATAATGGCGTCGTAAAAAGTCGAACTTGACAAGATCAACAAAAGACCCGACTTGCAGATATCTCTCACCAAGTAAGTATGTCTGAACATATAAAATACCTCGATTACACATGTTCCACGGTATCGGCACGCAAATCATAAAATCGGCCGTAGCTCCGCATGTTTCTGTTGGTCCAAAGGTGGTGACTAAGGCGGTTGGTCACGACGTTTGCTTTTCCTAGAGCTCAAATCAGTGCTCGGTCGAGAGTCACAGCAGGGGTCTTCAGGGGTTCCAGCAGGGTATACTCGGTGAAAAGGGCCAATTTCCCGGGTTTTCAGGGCCTCGAACCAAGTGCTGCAGTCGTCGTCAATAACAGAACATTTGCTCCATCAAGGCGCCCAAGCCTCCTGAAATAACTTGATTCCGCCGTGTACGGAGTACATTGCCGTTGTTTCCCCACAGGTTCCAGGGCGACTCCGGTGTGTCATGACAGCTACACAGGGATTAGAAAATGGAGAAAGAACCCCTGTCAATGTCGGGACCCTGAATCAATTGATTCATGCCGTCGTCAATCATGTTGAGAATTCTGAATGCTTCTTTGCGAGAATGAGCAATACGAAACCTTGTCGAGGGCTAGTGAACGTACCGGTTCCCGATCCGAGTTTATCCTCCTCAACGAATGTGGCTACTTTGCGGAATGATTGACCTTTGAGGGGTTGTCCGTCTTGGTCCTGGGCGTCATGCTTGGATTTCCTCGGGCGCTCCATCGCCAGACTGCCATCGAATCTACGCGATATGACGCAGCGATGCCTGTCACGTCGGAGGCAGGCGTCGCCAAGTGTCTCCCGTCTGTCTGTTGTACTGCTACGGCTCTGACCGCTGCCGGGCGTGCTCGGAGTGGAATAGAACGCCTGAGAGAGTTGCTTTGCCTTTTTCGCTGATGCCTTTACTCAAGGGTGTCAGCGTGTATCCCAGCTCTGCTAAAAAGGCATGGCTCACGGGGCAAAAAAAAGTTGTCAATCAAGTAGTCTGCAAACTCCACCACTTTCTCCCGTATGCGCTGCTCCGTCTCATTGTCCGACAAGTCGACTTCATCTTGTTCCTGTATTGACGAGCCGATGGCGTTGAAAACGGCCTGGAGAAAATGATCCTTGCATTTTCCGGGTATTGCAAATTCGTGCATTAGGCCAAGTAGTTTCGGATAGTTGTATTGGCCACCAGGAAGGGTGGGTTGGTTATTCTCGTAGTGCATTGAACAAACCGGTAAAACCTTTGTTCTGCGACCCCCCGGCCGTCATGCTCCATGGGTACGGTGGTGGGGTGCCGATGCCGTGTCACGGAGATGGTTGCAAACATTACAACTTGCATGTCGTGGTTGCTTGAAGGATGCGGGGTGCTCTTGTGCGCCACGCTAGGCTGTTTTAGACCAGGTGGCGCTGGGCAGTGGACCCGCCCTGGCAATGAGTTTGCATGTGATGTCGCACCGCACGACCATGGCGAGGAACAATAGCAAACAATTCCTAATTTGACGACAACACACCCGTGGCCCGACTCTGAAGTTATTGTTGTCCGCCCAGCCATGTTATTGTCCCAAGACGCAGGCAGCAGAGCACACCCCCTTCTATTCTCGGCAGCTGCCTCAATCCAGTGGCCCAGCCCTTTCCCACTCATGCGCGCCAACCAGGGCTGCCAAATCCCGCCACATCACGTCAATCGCCGTGTGAGCATTGTGTGAATAGAGCTTGAAAGGAGCTTGTGCGGGACCCGGCACAGGCAGCTCTCGAAAATGGTCCAATTTGCGTTTGGCCTCCCACCGCGCTTGGCAGCGAAAGCTCCTACTTGATGCGAGGCCACATGGCATGCTGCTGCTGCGTGTTTGCTTCGTCGCGGTCGGGGGCATCAAAGTTGGCTACTATTGAAACGGCCAATATGAAGCCCGGAGAGTGGACTGCTGCCAAGTCACCGCTGCAGGCGGAAATCGTCATGGCTTGTGAAAAGGCCACACGGAGGCTTGTGCGAGGGAGGGCGCACGGAAGACGCAGCGAGCTTCGACATGTCTGCCGTTTTTCAATACACTCACTCCACGAGGGTCAATCCAAGCTCATGCTTGACCTTTTGCAGGTTGAGCTACTGTGCCCCCTCTGGCAGTGAGTGCGCATTGACTTTGTGGCATCATCATGTCGGCTGGCTGCTTCACGGGCGGCGGTGATTTAAAAACGGGCGAGGCCGTAATCCATACGCGAAAACACGTTGGTTCGCTTGGCCCGGTTGGATATTTGCAAGAACATCGCCTCGCAGCGTAAACAAGTCCATGCGCACCCTTCCCAGTGTCTGACTGTCCCTTCCACAAGTGACGGTCGAGTATACTCGTCCTCGACAACATCTTCCCAGCAAGACTCCAAAAATACCTTGTCAAACCATGGCTATACCGACCTCGGGCGTCCTCTTGTTCCTTCTACTGGCCACTCCAGTCTACATCCTTTCGTTGGTCGTGTATCGCCTATACCTGCACCCTCTGGCGAAAATCCCGGGGCCCAAGCTGGCCGCGGCGACCAGCTGGTACGAGTTCTACTACGATGTAGTCGGCCGAGGGGTATTCTGTTGGGAGATTAAGCGGATGCATGATGAATACGGTACGCTTCTCCGGATGAATCAGACATGCGTGCCGGGCAACATGACGGCGATGCCCCGGGCGACTTATACGCGTGGTGTCAATGGTTCCGGTTCCCCCTTGCAACCAGTCAACTAAAGCAGCCGTGGCAAAACAGGCCCCATTGTGCGAATCAACCCCAACGAGGTGCACATCCTCGACACCGGCTTCTACGACGAGATTTACGCGCCGGCCTCGAAGAAGCGCGACAAGTACGCCGACTACGTCGTCTTCCTGGGCGTGCCGACGGGCGCCTTTGCGACGTGCCCGCACGACCACCACCGCCTCCGTCGCAAGGCGCTCAACGTGTCCTTTTCCAAAAAGGCCATTTACGAGATTGAGCCTCTGATCCAGGCCAAGGTCGACCTCCTCTGCGGCCGGTTCGGGGACGTGGCCCGCGGGGACAGGGTGGTGCGCCTCGACGCCGCCTTCTTCGCCCTCGCCAACGACATCATCACCGAGTACAGCTTCGGCGAGGGCTACGACTGCCTCGGCAAGGACGACTTCCAGGAGAGCTTCAAGGGGGTGCTGCTGACGGCCGTCGAGGCCGGCGCCTTTATCCGCCAGTTCCCGTGGGTCGTGGGCGTGGTCAAGGCCCTCCCCTTGCCGGTGCTGCGCCGCGTCAGCGCCGCGTTTGCCAGCCTCTTGCAGTGGGAGGCCATTGTCAACAAGAGGGTCGAGACGCTGGTCGCGGCGGCGCGCGCGGGAAAGCCCCTCGCCGACAGGTCCGTCTTCTCGACGCTGCTGCGCGGCGACCTGCCGCCCGAGGAGAAGTCGTTTCAGCGCCTGATTGACGAGGGCAAGTCGCTCATGGGCGCGGGTAGCGAGACCACCTCGTGGACTTTGACGCTGCTCATGTGGTATGTGGCACGGGACGCGCGGATCCTTTCCAGGTTGAGGGAGGACCTGAGAGACATGCCTGACGGTGTGGCCGCGTCGTCGCTGCTCAAGTGGCTGGAGCAGAGGCGATATCTGGTACGTTGGTCATGGGCCCCCCCTGGCGATGAGAATGCTGCTTACACGACCGTTGTGTAGAGTGCCGTGGTGACCGAGGCGCTGCGGTTCGACCACGGTGCCATTGGGCGCTTGCCGCGTATTGCGAATGAGCCGCTGCGGTACAAGGACCATGTCATACCGGCTGGGGTGAGTTGCGGAAACCTGCGGGATGGGAATGGGAATGGGATGGGAGCTAATTCATTGCTTTGACCAGACGCCGCTGAGCTCGACCAACTACTGGGTTCACATGGACGAGACGATTTTCCCAGACCCGGCCACGTTTTCTCCCGAGAGATGGCTCGAGGCGGAGAGGGAGGGATTCCCCCTCCAGAAGTACATGGTGTCTTTTTCAAAGGGCAGCCGCCAATGCGTTGGCCAAAAGTGAGTCTGGTTGTTGTGGGCATGTTTTGGAATAGACGCTGACATGGGTACTAGTCTTGCAACGGCGGAGTTGTACCTGACGGCGGCGGCGCTGGTTACACGCTTCGATTTCGAGTTTGTCGGCACCACGGAGCAGGACATCCTGCCGGCCCGCGACTGTTTTATTCCACGGCCCGTGGTTGGCTCACCCGGCGTGTATGTCAAGATCAGGGGCGTGGACACGGAAAACAAGATGGCTTCTAATTAGTAATAAGGGGGTTGGGAGCGTTGGCCAATGGCACGGGGGAGATCAATGTGTTGAAAATATGTTCCACGCTTGCAATGCCAAAGGCCAGGGGCTGCCTTAAAACACAGTTTGATATTATATACTATATAGCCTAATGAAACAAGTCGACAACGAGTCAATCTCTGCCATTACAAAATATATTACATTAGAAACGTTGCCTTCGTATCCCTATGACAGCTTTTATTACATCACACAGTGCCGTAGGACAGAATAATGGCGTCAACCGTGTGGTAGGCAATATACGGCAGCGACATGCTCAGCCGGCCGTACGCAATGGCAAACTTGTACACCTCGCGGGTGATGCCGCCCTTGCCGCCAAGAAACTCGCCAGCCCGCTGGAACAGAGCATCCGACTCCTCGTCAAACCTGCGGCCCCAGCCCGGCTTCTTGTCCGGGTCCAGGAGCCGCCTATGCCACAGGTCGTGGATCCGGCGCACAATGTCCGCCAGCTCGTTCTGCACGCCGAGCGTCCTGCTCACCCTCCCGGGCTCCTGGCTCCCCTCCACCATGTCGAAGTAGCTGTTGAAGAAGGCGTTGTAGGGCGCGTCCGGCAGCGGCGCGCGGCGGACAGCCCGGCCCAGCGCCTCGACAAGCAGCTCGTCGAGCCCGGCCTCTGTGATCTGGCTCTTGGCACGGCGGAGAATGTCCCACGTCCAGCGCCAAAAGTCGGGATACTTGGTGACATAGGCCTCGAGCACCTCGAAGATGCGGCGGTGGCGGGCGCGGCAGAAGCTGTAGGGCGGCGAGGTGGCGGCGATGCGGCCGTCCTCGCGGCCCCCGAAGCGGGCGAGCTTGTGGCCGCGGAACAGCTCGCACAGCATGCCCGCGAGCACCGTGGCCATGGTGGCCATGGCCGCGTCGAGGCTCTGGCCGCTGGGGTACAGCAGGCGCAGGAGGTTGCGCGTCTCGCCCGTGTATATGTCCGTGTGCAGGTCCATGACGTCGTTGGGCACGGCGGACCCGACGAGCGCGCCCATGCCGGCGTTGTCCAGGTACGCGGCGCCGTCGCTGCACATGTACGCCGAGCCGATGGTGTCGAAGCCGCGGACGGCCATGAGCAGCAGCGGATCCAGGCCCGTCCGTATGTGCGACACGCGCGGCGTCGTAAAGGCGCGCGAGTTCTCGAGCCTGTTCATGGCGGCGAGGTAGGCGAGCGAGACGCGCCAGAAGGACCGGTCCTGGCCGGACAGCCGGTCGTCGAGGTTGGGCACCGAGGCGCGCGCGCGCTCCTCAAAGGCCCGGAAGCGCTCGCTGTAGACGTTCTTGCCCCGGGCCCAGTCGACGCCCGTCAGCGCCGAGTAGACGTAGTTCTCCTGGCTCGAGTCCGTCTCGAGCCCGAACGACTGGCACATCATGAGGTAGAAGGGGAACTGCGAGATGATGGGCGGGTCGCACACCAGACCCGTGAGCAGCCTGCCCCAGGGCGCAAAGTGCTCGTCGCGGGCGGCCTGGGACGAGTGGAATTCGGGCTGCATGTCGCCCGTGTTGCCGTTCTCCGTGGCGGCGAGGAGGATCTGGCCCCCGACCTCGAGCGTCACCTGGTACGTCAGCTCGACGAGGTCGAGGTCGTGAAGGCCGGAGCCGGCGGCGCGCTCCGTGTCGAGGACCTCGTGCAGCTCGGCGCCAAACGGCCGCACCAGGTCCATGCATTCCCTCGAGGGGCGGTAGTTGGAGAAGGCGTGCCGCACCCAGCCGGCGAGTTGCGATGTAAGTGGGTAGTGGCCGATCCGGCGCTTCGGATGCGCCGCCGGCGGACAGGGGACGAGGCGAATCTTGCTCTGGCTCCAGGGCCGGCCGTAAAAGGGCTCCTGGTGGCATACGTCGTCGTCGTCGGCGCAGTGGGCGTCGCGGCGAGGATGGAGGCCGCCCGACTTGAGACAGCGCAGGCCCGGCCCCGTGTACCGCATCTGGCGGGTGTTGATGACACCGACCGTCTCCATGTCTGTCTGAGATGCACTGCTGACGGCGAGATTAGGTGACGAGACAAAGAGGAAGGAGTATATACACCATAGGATGTAGGTAGGGTCGAACAGGGACCATGGCCAAGATGGTATGTTGCCGGTGAGGATTCTTGAAACAGGCATCAATGCCACGGACCATGCAACGCCGCTACGAGAGTTTTAAATATCTCTGGTCGTGTCCTCGATGCCGTGTGGCTTCACGGCGTCGTCGTAGTACGGATCGAGGTTGATTCTACAGCTCCCGAGTCTTGTTGAAATACCAGAGGCCTTCCAATGCTGTGGGTGGGCCGATTTCCCGGCTCCTTTGTCCTCGGTGGCTGTGATACAACGACGCCTCGGCCAGACAATGACTTTTGGCCAGATTTGTCTGCGCAATGCCTCGTCTCCGTCAGCCCGGTCGTGATGGAGGACACGACGGGGGAAGGGGGCCTTGCAAAGACCAAACCACCCCCCGGCGACCGTTTATTAGTCGGGCTGGCGGGCATGGGTGAATGGGACAATTCTTCCACCTGCTTCCCGTTTCATTGGCTCGGTATATTCATTCCTGCCCGGGGAATTGCTGCTCACCTCGGCGCCCAGGCCGCCTCGTCGGCGAGAGGGGTGTCCGTACCGATGTGAGATGTCATGTCTGGTGCGCAACGGCGGCGGTGCAGGAACCGGAGGGGGACGACGTCGACGCCAGGCAGCCTCGATCGAGACTCCAGCCCTGCGCAGGCCCAAGGCCCCGTCATATCCGTCAAGGACCATGTGGCGTTTTGCCCATGTGTCGACTTGAGGCTCTCCACCGTCCACGGCGGCAGCAACACGCCGAGGGAGTCCTTTGTCTTGGGCGTCGCCGCAGCACAACGTGGCCCGGGGGCCAGGAAATAGCACCGGAGCGAGGAAAACATGGCGTCCATGGTTTTGCGCCCGCTGATTTTTTTAATCTCTTGCAAATTTGGCCCGGCGGTGGCACATGGAGCGTCCGCCGGGGCGCCTCGGTGATCTGTGCCCTATTCACGCCCTCGACAATAGCAACGCACAATGCTTGCTGAGATATCTTCACCCGCCGTCGTGCAAGCCCGGCGTCTTTTGTCGATTTGATTGTCATGGACAAAGGACAATCTGTGCGCTTGGTGGCGTGTGCCCTACGCCGTCGTGTCCTCCTTAATTACTTGCATCCATGTGTGCCAAGGCTACTTTGTGCGTAGCCATTCGTGGGAAACGTTGCGTCTTTTCTCGTGTGAATTCTTGCTCGCTTGTTTCATTAAAACTGGTTTTTGTTTTGATTAATTTTTTTTTTTTTTTTTTGGGAACCAAGTAGGCAATGAGCAACTATTGCTGGTCTTTTGCGCGCCATGTGGCAACATTGGTTGAGGTGGTTCCAAGTAACATTGAATGTACGGCAGAGAAACTAGCGACGGCTTGCTGAATTCAATCTCATCATTAGTGACTCCAGATTTCCCTTTTGTAGTTGTAGCTGGTCGTGGTTGGAAAGACGGGATAGACAACTCATAGCGAAACACGGTATGCGCCGGACGAGGGCACCTTATAAATAACCACATGCAGTATGTGCCTATAAGCCAATCAAATAGCAGGTGTAAATACGTTGGAATTCATTTTCCTCTTTGGTAAAAGTTGGAAATATGTACATGAAGTGCCTCTATATACATGTGAGTAGAAGGGTCTGGTGTGATGAATATGTCCGTAGAGCGAAATGAGAACAACACGTCCATGTGTCCAAGCATCATACGCCAGGGCAGCAGCCACTGATTCTTGCATGGCTTTGCCTTTGCCATGTTATGTGCGTCATAAGACCCGGTGGTGAGACAAGACGCGCCGCGCCGCCCTCCCCGGTCGACGTCAAACCTCCATGTCTTGTGCCACCAGCCTCTTCAGAGCCGCCCCTTGACGTTGTCGCCAAAGGTCCAGCCCTTGGATCCGTCCCAGTTGATGGACCACGTCATGAGGCCTTTGAGAGAGCCGTTGTAATGATCCCACGCTTGTCCAACCAGACTCGGCGACATGTATCCGCCGCCGGCGCCCGACTGCGCAGGCAGACCGGGGACTTGCTTGTCATAAGGGACCCGGATCGTGGTGCCCTGGATCACGAGCCCTTTATTCAAGCAGTCGGTCTGGGCCACAAAGCCCTCGACGGTGCCGGCTTTGTACGAGTCTCCCGAACACCCGTACATGTCGCCGTTGTAGTACTGCATGTTGAGCCACCACAGCCGGCCATTGTCGGCATACTTCTTGATGATGGGGAGATAGGCGCCCCAGATGGCTCCGTACGTCACGCTGCCCCCCGTCACGTAGGCCGTCTCGGGCGCCATGGTCAGGCCAAAGTTGGACGGCATCTGCGCGAGGATGCCGTCAATGATGCGCACCAGGTTGGCCTGCGAGGTGGACAGCGTGCCGATGGTGCCGCTGCCGCTCAGGCCCGCCTCGATGTCAATGTCGACGCCGTCAAAGTTGTACCGCTTCAGGATGGGCACAATGGTCGAGACGAACTTGTCGGCGACGCTGCTCGAGCTCAGGTCGATGGCCGCGGTGGCGCCACCGATGGACATGACTATGGTCGCCCCGGCCGCCTTGGCCTGGCACATTTCCGCCGGCGTCGCGACCTTGACGTTGGCGTCCATGCCGTCCTCCCACAGGGCTGTTCCGTTGGGCAGGATCACGGGGAACGCGGCGCTGATCACATTGTAGCCGTGCTGCCGGATCTGGGCGTCTTGGATCGGAGTCCATCCAAACGGGGGGTGTACGCCGTTCTTTGCTCCGTCCCAGTTCTCCCAGTAGCCTTGAAGGACCTTGCCCGCCGGCTTTCCCTTGGTTGCGCACGTTTCGTTTTGCGCAAAGGCCGGCATGGGCCCGAGCAGTGTCGATACTATAAGGGGTAATATCACGAGCCCCGTGTTGAGGAGCGGCGCCATGGTGAAAAAAAGAATAAAAAAAATAAATAAAAAAATACACGTCTGGGAACAACCTTTTCGCAATCAGCTAGATGCAATCAACGGAAGCCTCTCTCGATTTTCCACTGGTTTGTTTCAAACCCGGGCCAGAGGGCGAGGTGAGAGTGTGCACATGTGCTCTTATATAGATGGCCCTGCGCTTTAACCTGCTCCATGAGCCTCCTCCTTATTTTGCCTGGTGTCACAGGACCGCATCGTCCCAATTCAGAAAATCCTATATCCGACACGTCCAGACGTGACCCCAACGCGGGACCCCCCCGGAGGAGCGCAACGTAGGATGGATCCGGAGGGCCGTCACGAGAACTGCTCAACAGCAGTTCTGAAACTCGTCAGCCAGAATGACCAAAGTGGAGACCGCATTCGTCTGTTGTAAGGGTACTACTTGACAAGACGTTTCACAAGGCATGCAGATGCCGGGTTCATGGTTAGACAGCGCGTGGGTTACATTCCTACTTGGGCAAGTGACATGAATGCCAACGTCGACAACTGCCCATCGCCCCCATTCATTCGCATTGGGGGCATAGACTGGCAATTTAAAGCCGTTGGTCTTGTTCATTTTGCCAGACGTGGTTTTTGCGTGTTGCCGCCTTGGGCGTGTCTCATCCCCGTGGCGCAAACATAAAGGCCTGCGAATACCCTTGCCGCCTTTTTGTCTCGGAATCTGCAAATGCTCTCGCCAATTTGGTACAGGCTGGAATCGACTGTTTGCGCTATATCTACTCCCCATTTGCTATGCGAGAATTAGCGGCGCCGCCAAAGTTGGCATTCATCTCGGCTTTGGCAGTCGGGCTTTCGCTTTTCTCTGCTGTTGTGCTAAAAATCTAGCATGCCATCATTCAACGCGAACATGAAGATTTAATAGGCATTTTCATATCGAGCGGGATACCCCCACCTTTGTATGTGTACGGTTTAAAGGTCCGTCCTTGGCATCCGACAGACCGTGGCTCAATCTCTGCCTAGTTCCTTGATCCCAGTCATCTATATTGGCTGGTGGGCAAATCGTCTTCCATGGTATAAAGTGATTCGACAAGTAAAATCTTCAGACATACATACCTTGCCGCTTGGTATGAACTTGGCTATGGATAAAGGATAAGCTTCCATGCCCGATCTCTTCGTAGTGTCTCGAAACAATATTGACCAAATGAGAGATACTCGCGATCGCGTAATTCAATTTAGACATTCTTCGGCGTCCCATTGAGCGAATACTCTGCGATACGGTAGATCTGATGCCCGCCCAAAACATGTAAAGGCGGTTCTATTCGCAGCCGGGATGAATTTGGACATCCATAGACAAGCACGACTTGACATGCTAACATTGAAGTGGTACAAATATTCATATCCATTTACCGATCAACACAGCTGGATAGTTTGAGCGGGCCACGGTGCATTTCATGATGCTTCATGATGCTTCTTGATCCATCTACGCCAGGGCCAGGGTTAGGGTTAGTATATTACCGAAGGCAACACTTTCCCTGCCACTGCTCTTTCGGGTTTCAATCACACAAGGGCATTCCACCGGTTCGGTGTTGACTAGTGTACATCTCCCGCCCTTCTGACAAGAACCATGTGTCAAGCAAGCATCCACCCGAGGCGCTTGTATATCAATACAAAAGCGAATCTCCAGCTTCACGCCCCGCTGCGAGGTCACATGTACGTTCCTAATACAATGTGGGCAGTCATCTCACCACGTGTCTGTGACGAATGATCTCTGGCCGTCCCATCTTAGGGTGCAGGGGCGGGGGATAGGTTCTCAATACGACTCTACACGGAACTCTCTGCCTTAATTAAAAGCGCCAAGCAGGCTAGGCTTATTTAGTCGGCGGGAAGTAACCACATAATGTAGCCAGGCATGGTGATGCAGTACGGTGGTGGTGGTTACTTTGGCTATTACACCAACTTATACTCCAACTCTGTCCAAGTATGAAGAAAGCCAGATAAAATAGATTCCATCAGGGACAAAATCTACATTGTATGCGGATGCTGTATTCTTAATTTTACCAACGTTATACCGTATAATACATTCTACGTCACTTATAAAATTAAATTTATATGCTACGAAAATTAGTTGATCTTACCTCGAAGCTTACTTTTAGAGAATATGTGAAGAGATTCTCCATTGTGATAAGGTCTTGGTAGGGCTTAGAGTATAATATCTCAATTTAATAATAGTCTTAAAAGGTGTTCAAGGTCCTTGGCTTTCCAAGAGAAAAAGAGAGGTAAGTAACTACTATATATACATTAAATTATTAATTAAAAAAAGAAAAAAAAAGTCTAGCTAATCACCAGGACCTACTAGTAGCTCAATTAGGAGCCGTACCTGGCTCAATTGATAGTAACGCGTAATATAAAAAAACAGTGCATGCATCGCGATGCGTCAAACCTACTAGCTCAAGAGGTGATTTATGACTTCACGCGCCGGCGAAACTACTATATATACATGAAAGGAGCTTTTGTGGCTGGCGTTTCTACCGGGTCATGTATTCCGTCTATATAACTCAAGGTCTTTTTGTCGGCAAAGCCCCTTTATTGGGCTTTGTTGTTGGGTCCTAACCGTGTAATATTATTTGAGTTCGAATAGTAAGTTTTATTCGTCAATTCATTACTCGCTCTTAGTATTATATGTATCTAGTCTCTCGTACTTTCGCTGAGCTCTCTTGCCCTCGTTGCCTTTATGTAAATCGTTTAAATAATCCTTAAAATCTTTTGATAGCTCCAAAACAGCCCTAAAGTGCGTGTCGGACAAGATAATCTTGCCGTCTTCATCCTTCTCGTCGTCATACTCGGCTAACGCAACAGCAGTCTGAAAGGCTATATTCACACATGTTAGTTTCTGCTCTCCTGGCCTGTCTCGCAACGTACCATTTCTGATTTCTCTGCCATTCCACTTGACACTTCGCATCTCTGCACCGCGAATATACTCCTTGGCGTCAATATTCAGGCGCATGTGGCTCCCTCTTTCCCGAGCTAGCTTGTCGATAAATGTATGCCAGACCTGTTGTCGCTGGCTATCTGTAAATTCGTCGTAGTGCAGCTGGATATGGACACGCGAGACAAAGGCATCGTCAAAAGCCCCAACCCTGTTGGTGGTGAGGAAAAGTATGCCACTATAGTACTCAAGGGCTCGAAGGAAGCCTACAAGACGGTTATATATTATTGCCAAAAGGACAAAATTCGCTTGCAAGATGATGTTTTACTTGCCTGCCACTAAACTGTTGCGGACTAGGTCTGTAGTTGATCGACACTCCATAAACACATCAGCTTCGTCAATGAGAATGACGGCACCCCAGCTCTGGGCCGTCTTGAAGTTTCTAGCTAGAATGGATTCAACGTCATCTGGATCCGTGCCAATATCACTTGGCGTCAAGACCATCAAGGGTCGTCTCGTGAAGGCTGCAACGCACTCTAATAACAGGATCAGCACCTCGAAAGGGCCACAGAGTGAGTCGAACTTACCCGCCGTGCAAGTCTTGCCTACGCCAGGTTTCCCGTGTAAGAGGAAGATCAGGCCGCCCCCCTTTCCTTTAACAAAGTCTGCCTCCCACAAATCCATAGGCACTATCTCGTCATTCTTATTGCGCCGCGCAAAGCTCTTGGAGAGGCCTTTCAGTATTCTCTTTCTTTGTTCCTCCATTACCAAGTTGTCAAACATGTTTTCCTCAAACTTGGGTTCGAAGAAATTGTCAACGTGTAGCCTCTCTACGCGGGCGTCAGCTTGAAAATATTCACGGAAACGTGGTTGCTTACCCCATTTACGTGTTGAAAACACGTAGGCGTGCATCTCAAAGTTGCACACCAGGTATTGATGCGCTGTTAGCTCATCCTCGTCCTCCACATCGATGTAGTTGTAATCCCCGAACAACGACGTGATCTGCTTTTCGCTAGAGTCAGCTTTCCGCTCCCTGCAGGTGGCGCAAACACAGTCCGTGACCCAATTGCGACAGTCAGTATCATCCATTAGACGTGGAGGTTGACTGTGGGTATAGTGGCTCTTGGGATCTGTCATGACCAACCCGTCAATCTGCGTGATTATTAGCATGAATAGTCAAATACGGTGAGGAAAAGGCCAGAAATCTCAGGTGCCTACTTCATTGAACGGGAAATCCCTGCTCTTTCCCTTGTAATACTTGCACTGCTTCTTCAGAAGCTTCCAGTATTTCTTCCCATATTCAATTTGTTGCGCAACTACTTGGTCAAGTCTTGCAGACTCTTCGAGAGCATCCACTTCCACGAGACGCTTGTCGCACTTAGTAAAGTCGAGTTCACCATCAAATTTTACAATGTCATTTTGGCCCATATGTCTTCCAAGGTACTTTCCGTCGTATACAAGCTTCCAGACGGAACAGGTCCAATCTTTAGGCGGATTATCAAAAACGCCACCAGAGATGGAGTGTACAACATAAGGAGTCCAGTCACTCTCGGTACGAAACCTTTGTAGAAATGTCGCGCCTGGTTTCAAATGGACCCAGGCGTGCTCCCAGGTATAGAAGCCCCTCTTGTTGCGCTCTCTCTCTGCTCTAACGTCTGTCATGACGTGTTCGTCCAAGAAATGCAGCAAAAGAGTAAGATGCTCGCGTGTGTTCCGCTCTCTGATGCACACTTTCCTCGGGTCCTTTGTTGCGCAGGCATCCCGAAAATCGGAAAGCTCATCATAGTGATGGACAAGTACAGCATACGGCCACTGCACTACTATGGCCTCGCCAGCAAGTTCTTGCGCTGGGTAGTATTGCACCACAGATTGCAATGCATTGATGATGGCAGGAGAGTAAATACGCAATTTGTACGACCGCGCCGTCATAAGGGTAGGCAGTAGGCTTGGGGTCTTTTTTGAGTCCTCGGATTCTATTGGCTTCGTCGTATAGATGGTCAAGACTTCAAATACCGGCATGTTGATGCTAACGGTGTCTTGGCTCTCGTTGGCGAAGCGCTCTGTTACTTCACGGTGAATCAGGTTGCCAGTGTCGCGGTGCCGATACTCGATGCTAAATCTTATCCAAGGATTCTTGTCTTCATTCGACGCTCCGTCGGTGGACGGGTTGGCCTGAACTGGCTCCATCGTTGCGACAAGGACTCAAAGAGGACTTGTGAAGAGCTTTAAATTCGGCCAATAATTTTTCAAAAGTTTCTAAGGTCCTTGGTTCCTTGTAATCTAGGTCCTAAGCTTTCACCCGCATATATACATGATGTCCCGTATGTGTGTAACCTGACTTGGATGACTGAGGCATCTATGTCATAGCAGCCTTAGGTTTCTAGCTTGTATCCCCTGAATTATCTCCCTGACCACCTTGTGTGCCGTGACGATGCATCCTTTGGAGTGTTGCAGCCGGGATGGGGCCGCGATAGGGATCATCCGCCGGATTAGGAAGGTCATGTCACTACTTCGTATAACAATTGTGCTTACAAGCTTGGAGAAAACAACTCGGCTCGGGTCTCAAGGATTCCAGAAATCTGATAATGTTAAACCGATATTCGAGAGAGCCTTGGTAGGTCAAGTCTCGAATAGAATGGGAGGATGAACAGATGAAACTACAAAGAACAGGACTGCGGCTGTATTTTGATAAGAGGAACGAGAGCACTCACGTTGGGGTAAAAGAAGAATGACTGAGAGATGAATTGGGTACCAGATAAAAGCCTGAAGGACGGAAGAAATGTGGTTGGGTGCAGCCAGCCACAAGTTGACTCCTCCTATGGCACCCCTGGGGATGTCAGAAGCTGATATGCAGGCTGGAAGTGCTGCCGAGACTCTCCAACGTGGCACCAATCAAACGAATTTCTAACAATCCCGTCAAGTATCACTACAGGCTGTCATTTTGGACAACTCGCTCGTCAGAATCGCTCCAACGATGCCGCAAAAGACGAGTTGCAGAGGATCGGCGCCCATGACCCTCATCGCGTCTTCTCCCAGACTCATTTCGTAATCAAAGCCGCAAGAGTTGTCCGCACCTGGAATAGTAATGAAAGATATTAGAGAATCGAGGAGACTTGTGAGGATGTATAGTTTCGACGTCGTTGACAGGCTCCCAGCAGGGAACGATGCCTACAGGCTGGGCCGAGTTCTGAACCAAAGTGTTGGCGAGGCTCGCAGCCCAACAGATCCTTGGCTCAAGTTTTTCCAGCCATGGGAACCATCAGAAGAGAACGACAGGTGAAAACAGCGTCTGGTGAATCCTGATAGATCAAGGTCCTAACAGTGAACAGTAACCCAGTGACCAGGATCGTCTCCGTGGAGGCGGCAAAGCTTTGCGAGAAATGGGTGAAATTTCGACAGAGCTGTTCCAAGGATGACCAGCTGGACTTGACCACATCTGAGCCGACTATTGATAGCGTTCTTGACATGGTAGAACGGATGAACAAGGCGTGGCAAGAGAAAAGGAAACAGGGAGCGGGGGGGAAGGCAATGGCTTTTTTCCACAAGTTTTGCGGAACGCTTGACTCTCATAGTTCGCTTCTGAAACTTCTGCCTGAGGGGAATGAGTACGTTTCCATCTTTACCGGAACTCTGAATGCTGTTATCAAGGTACGTGGCCATGCGTTCATGCGCAGAGTCCCATGAGAATTTGAACCCATTATAATCCCACGTAGGCAAGTGTCAATCACGAACGCATCGCCGAGGGTGTGTCTGAAGCACTCTCTTCTATCAGCGAGAACATCACGGAGTGCAAGGCCGAACTAGAAATATTCCACACCATGGACATGCTGGAGAGGGTAGCTGAGCTGTACGCGCACGTCTTTCTTTTATTGTCCAGCATCATGGACTATCTTGCCAAGAAAAGTGTTATGAGATTGATTGATTCGTTCAACGAGAGTTTGTGCAAGAAATTTCAAAATGAGATAAAGCAGATAAACGCAAAGTCTGCTGTGATGCGCAATATAGCCGCGCGAGGCTCGCGTGCCGAATTGCGGGCGACACGACTGATGGTTGAGGATCTAGGAAGAGATGTAAGGATCGGCCTCGAGGGGGAGGCAAGGAATCGCGCGGAAATGAAGAATTTTGCGAGTCTGGTAGACAGAGAACTCCAACGGGCCGAAAGGGAAAGACAAGAGGTACGACAACTAGTTGTTCGACTCACCTCCATGTTGCAGCAGGATGCAATGGATTGGATGACGGGCCAAGGCGGTAAGAATCCCGGGCATCCAGTCTCATATTCATAAACCTAATGACTCATCTTGGACGCAGCATTACGCGGCACATCGCCGTCTCGCGGATTGACACTTCCAGGCATGAGCCTCTTGACCACTCCGTCTATCTTGAGTGCCATGCCATCCACGAACAAATGGACCGCCGAGCAAGTCGCCGTCAACTCGGCGCACCTTGAGGACTTCTTCCACCGTGATCGCGTGCGCCTGCCATACGATCTGTCGGCCGCCGTCATGATTCCGCCCGAGACGCTTAAGCAGCTTACAGACTGGACTGCGTCCCGCTCGCCGAGGCTACTTTGGATCGAGGGCCCTCACATCGAAGCTGATGACATGGAAAACATGGTGACCAAGATAGCTGCCAAGTTCGTCGACTTGGCATCGCAGTGCCGTGTCCCAATTGTGTCGTACTTCTGCGAGTTACGCCGTGGCGAACCTCTCCGTCCAGGCCAGTCGCGCGAGACGCAGGGAGCAATTGCTGTGGCATCTGCGCTGCTACGACAAATGATTGAGCTCCTCCTACCACGCTTTGAGGCCGAGATGGACTTATCAGAAGCCCGGTTTCGTCCGTTCGATGGAACCGTCGGATCGTGGGACGAATCCATGGCAGTGATTCGGGAACTGACAGAGTTGATGCCAGATGAGGTGTTTTGTGTTATCGACGGGTTGCATTGGCTAGATGACACTAGCGCCGAGAAGTACTTGAAGGAGTTGATACATTTGCTGAGAGGTAGTAAGCTTAAAGTTTTGTTCACGACATCAGGCAGGGCTGCTTGCTTGCGAGAGGAGTTGTCCGTCTCGGAGACGTTGGTTCTAGAGACATTCGGCCAAAATTGTGCTACCGGCGCGTTAGACGATAGTGCTTTCGAGACACTTGGCGACTGAGCGAAGAGAAATTGACAAAGAGTGCTGGACAAGGCAGCCGAACTAAGCAAGGCATGATGCTTGAAAACCATGTCTAGCGACTGGCAAAGATTTTTATGGATTGACCCGGGGAGCACACGTTCGGGGACATTTCAAAAGTAGCGCTATTTAACAATATTAATCGAGGTTAAATCCAAATAAAATTGAAGGATTAGGTGCTTCTCAGCTCCATCTTCTCTCGACCGAACTTGAATCCTTTGAGAAGCCATCACATGAAAGTGAAGCCAAGTATATGCGCAAAACCATCTCACAGCTTTAGTGTTGAGGCATCCAACTCAACCGTCCAGATAGCCAAACAATCGCCGAAAGCCTTGCGCAATGCCCGGCGTACATATGCAGCTGTCTGCCCCGGGCCGCAACTTCTCCGTTGCAGGCTTTCGGGAGATGCCCAAGAGTTATTTTTAACCTTATTGTCGACGCCTCATGACCAAAGAAAACCCCCGCTCGCACCCAACTTCTCTTCTGAGAATATTCCGCCGTCATTCTTGGCCCGTACTCCTCCTTCAAAAAAAAGGAGAGGCGGGGAGAACTTTTGTTCAAAACAACACATGATCAATAAACGCCACAAAGAGACAACGAAAACTAGCGACAAGTCCCTCTAGCTATTTGAAGCAGGCGGTTGGGCAGGTAAGAACGCTCCGTGTCACATTTCTGCATCGCCAGCCTTGATGGTGTGGTGTGGTGGGGGGTAGCATCAGGCACAAAGACCCTTGAACTGTTTCCCGTCTTTGCCAAAATAAGTCAACTGGTGTTACAATCTCATGGGATAGCGTGAACAGTGTCTTGGCCGTAAATCCCTCCACTACCACCAGTTTTCGTGCGGCATCGTCTTATATAACAACAACGACGAAGAGGCCCTCACCACTTCACATATTTATATAGGAATTGGAAAACAGAGTCGCCGAGTGCAACACATAAATCACACCAAATTGCATCCCTCTGACACAAGAACCATCAAAATGAAGTTTTCCTCTACAGTTGCTCTTTTGTGCCTAGCTTCCGGGGTCTATTCCCTGGTTGCTGCTCCACCGCCGACAAGAGTTGATAGATCCGGGCCAACTCTTGTAGACCGTGACTTGGCAACAGCCACCTCTGTACTAGCAGATGTCAAGAATGGGTTCGGCTCCCTCGGCACCGCTGCAAAAGACTTCAACGGCGATCCTGGACCCCTGAAGACAGCCGCCTCGAGTCTCCTGGCCAAGGTGGACTCTGGCACAACGGCAATCAAAAACATGACGCCGTTGTCTTTTTTTGAATGTCTGTCGTTGCTCACCCCGGCGCAAGATCTTCAAAAACAGGGCAAGGCTCTCTCGGACCAGCTCAAAGCAAAGAAGGGCCTGATTCAGCAGTATAAGCAGTGCGCGACAACGTATGGCTTTCTTGATCAAGGTGTCACCAAAAGCGCTGTTCTTATTACTGCCGTTGTGTCCAAAGTTGACAGTAGCTTTAAAGACACGGTTCAAAATGAGGGCAACAAGATTACGCAGCAACTCAAGGATCTCAGAGATTACTTTGGTCCGGGGAACTGTTTGGATTCTTAGATTACCGAATATGCGTTGCTGAAAGGCATTTTGCCGAGGAGCTTTGTCGGGTGATCCGAAGAGATGGGAGAACCATTTTGCCGTCTGTCCTGTTTGTGTGTGGCGTTGCATCTTACTACCTTGGTATTACGCACCGATGGTATGCGACAGGATATCGCAGTTGGCAAGGACCTTAAACAGATTGCATTTACACCGTGGCTTCAATATATGTTCGTCTCCTTTCCTTGTCAACGCAATCTATGTCTCATGATGCCTATTATATGTGACCATTGGCGCTACAAAAAGCGTCACACGTTAGAGCTTTACGGCAATGGCAATATAGTATGCCAGAAAACATTCCATGTCAAGGATAATCGAACGTTTCTTCATCCACCGGAACAAATTGCTTTGTTACGTGTATTACGATTCTCAGAGCTCCAAATCCATACGCTAGTGTTCCTGCGCCATGTTCCCCATCTGCTACACGGAAAAGGCCCAACAGATCGTGAAGCCCAACTAAGGGGCTTTACTAATATAGGACTTGCTAGTTATACGGCTTAAACACGTGCCTAGGTAAGAGACTTAAGCCTAGGTATTCCTTTTATACATATAAAGTAGTTACGGTTTTTTTCTCTCTCTTAGTAACTAAAAACCTTAGAGACCCTTTAAGATTATTATTAAATTGAGCCCTTTTGCTAAAAGCCTTCTATATTAAACCCTTGTCACACCATCCAACGAGTTGGTAAAGATGAGATGGCTGAAATGGAACTCTGGGGAAAGAAGGTGTGCAAGCCAAATCCGGGAACGCCACTTGAGTGGCAGGCAACTGCATAGCACGGTAAGAGTATATACCTAATCTAGGGCCATAGACATCCCAGTTTGAAAAGGAGCGACTAAGAAACTCGGCAACACTTAATCCACTCAATTCTTCCACAAGGTACGTAGCGGCAGTGTACACCATGTTGCAGTTTCCGTCTGGCTGGGAAGAGTAAAGTCTCTAGGTACAAGGGTGTATACGAAGTCCCGCCATATACTCCGTTAGTTGCCCCTTTTCAATGAAGGAGACTAACAGAGGCCGCTGTCAGGCTATTTGGAGGCCGACGCCGCGTCGAAAAGTCTCTCGGGCAGCAATCACGCGGTGGGTTAATGGATAACTTGCCATAGCCTGCTGTGACAATCGTGTCACCTTGCAACATGGCGGCTGCAGCTTAGGACGTGGTGCCTGTTTAGCAGTTTCTAAACACTCGAAGAAATCCATTGCCGCCGCAGTTTTGAAATACCCAAGTGCCAGTCTTGAATAGGGGGTCCTTTTTTAAAAGAGCATGACGGCTTTCTCTCCGGGTTGTTGAACGCGCTTGTTTACCACTTGGGAAGTTACTCAACTTGACCTAAAGAAAAAATAAACCTTGGATGGAGTTGTTGAACTAATAAATGTTGACGGTATAGATGTGGGGGTTGTAACTATAACTGATGTGGCGACAACAGCAACGTCCATAAGACCATAACCAATGCGGGGCAATTCATCAATCTCATCACATGTGCTCATTTTTACATTCTTACATTCTCGGAACAAAAGACCTGCTTACTTGAGTCTAGGTTATCCACCTTCACCAAAGACACAGCCAGCTCCTCCAACCCCCTCCTCATCATTGCCGGATCCGAAGCAACGCGCCGGCGCCACCCAAGCAGGCATGAAAGGGTCCTCCAGATACTCCCGGTCCCGTCAAAAAGTCTGCGAGAACTGCTCAACCGCCAAGGCAAAGTGCGACCGCGGCCAAGGACAGTGTTCGAGATGCGCAGCCCGCGGCATCCGCTGCACGTATCCCGGCGTCGACAACTCTACGCAAAGCTCCGAAGCGCCCGAAGAGCAAGATGCCGTCAGCCCCGACTCTCCGGACCGGCACCGCTCGGCCCGGGGGCACCGCGAGACGCCCGACTTTGCTCGTCTCAGGCTCTGCTGCCCCATAAACGTGGACGACATCCAAAACCGCTGGCTGAACCTCTTTGTCCCCATGCCGGGCCAGCAGCCTAAACAGTACCCGGCAGCCATCACCTTGTTCATCAGCAGGGTTCTGAAATCCTACGTAGCAGCCGCGTCAAGAGGTCGCACCGTGCCGCCCTTTATACACCTGCTGCAGATGCGTGTGCTGGCGAGTGTGCCGCCGCTGTCCATATGCCTCAGCCTGATGCGCATGTGTGAGCAGCCCGCCCCCGGGAGCGAGGGCGTCATTGTCGACCTCTTGCGCAGAGAAATGGCAACCATCTACGCAAACCGCAGCGGGTACGACCACACGGCCATGCTGGCGGCCTTTCAGGCCTTTCTACTGTACGCCATGTCCTTGTTTTTCAAGCTTGCTCAGGGCCCGGACGCCGGCATGAGGGAGGCCATGATGCACCTGCAGGATCTCGCGGCCATGAGCTGCCGGCACGGCCTGGTGTGCGCCGAGGAGCAGCAGCGGGCTCGGCCGAAATGGGAGGCGTGGGCTGTCGCCGAGGCCAAGAGGCGGACTCTCTTTACAATGTATCTCTTTGACAGCGTCCTGTCGTCTCTCGATGGTCTTCCCACGTTTCTTGGCACGGAGCTGGCGGGACTGCCTGCCCCGGCCTCCAGGGTGCTCTGGCAGGCGGAAGAGAGGGGGGCTTGGGAATCGTCGTACAGCCTGGATCTGGCTGGCTGGTCTGCTGGGAGGCTTCGGATTGATGAGCTTTGGCCAGTGTCGTCGGATATGGGGCAGGCTGCTGTTCTGGAACGGTGTAATAGAGTGGATCGATGGCTGGAGGATGTGGATGAGTATGGGACGATGCTTTATGCCGTCACGAGCTGTACGCATGGAACTTGAGCGGCTTGGTGGTCCTCGCGAAGTGTGTTGTAGGCACAAATATGTATAGAGTTGTGAAAAGAAATATTTCTGTTTCTCATGTAAAAGAAGATGTCGACAGCCGCAACTGTTCTGTTATACTGGCTGTTTCTCATTGAACTGATAACTAGTCACTTTGCCAGTCGCCCGGCTTATATTCATCTTTTTAACGATTGAGACTAGATGTATTTAATTGTAAATAAGGGATATTAACTAGTAAGCTTTTCATTTTTTTCATTTTTTTTTCATATATATATATATTTGAAGCCGTTCTGTAGTAGTTGAATACTTCACGCTCCAACTTTTCCATCCTTCTTCTCTTTGATCCCCGACTCCTAAGCCTGCACACTATACGTCGTCAAGACCGCCTTGTGGTCCGACGTCCATTCATTATTGCCGTGATTTGGCTGCGCGGTCGGGTTGCCCACCACCACCGCCTCGGAATCCCGCACGGCGAGCTTGCGGCCCTTGTGATAGACAAAGTCGATTCGATCCAGCGGCTCCGGTCGGCCATTGTTATCCAGGTAGATGGGCGACCAAGTAATACCAGGCGTTGCCACAGGATCCGAATGCGCAACGCGGA